ATATCTATTCTAAATCTACCCTGTTCCAGTTTGAAGCCATTACCCCTTGTCCTATCACTACATGCCCATGTAAAAGTCCCTCTCCAGCCTTCCTATAGATTCCCTTCAGATACTGGAAGGTCGCTCTAAGGTCTCCCTGCAGTCTTCTCTTCTCCAGGCTGAAGAACCCCAACTGTCTCAGCCTGTCAACATTCACTCTTTCTCCTACTCTTCACATATGGAATGTAGTCAGGATTTTTGAGAACTCTTGTCTCTCTAAAGCTATGTTTCTTGAGAACCTTTACTAGAATAGTCTGGATACGAAGCGCCTAGCTTAAGCAAGCTGGTATATGCTAAAGATTCAAACTGGCATTTATTTTGTAGGGTAGATCATTCAACACTCCTTGAGAAAACCGTGTCACTCAAACTGCTGTCAGATGGCTGTGGTTATACAGTGCATACAGACACCACCACAATGGGCACTCCTGATGAGTACTAAATCTGGACTTAATCTAACAGCAATAGCAGCATTGGCTTTGAGCAAGGAGACCTATCTGAAGAAGGGCTATCTTTCCAGAAAAGATTTCCATGAGATTTATTTAGCTATTTCTGGTGTGGTGCTTGAACCTTATCAGACTGATTTCTCATCACAGGAAGTATTAAGTTCTTCCTGAACTACAGAGATACTATTTTTTGGTTAGCCTCCAAGCACAGACATACTGGAGTTGCTGCCTTGAAGAACTATGGCAGACCTTCAGCTTAAAGCTGGAGGGTCAAAAATATTAGTTTCAATTGACAGGTGCATAAATAGCCATGGTGGTTCCACCTACTCCAGTGGTCTGCCTCCATCACTGGTCAGGGTCACTTATCCTGGGGAAGGGGCAAGAAATCATGTGGAAGGTGTAAGAAGAGGCAGAGCAGGGACTTGACAACTGCCTCTTCCTCTTCCCCTTTCAGTTTCCCTTTCTCTTCTTTCTTTTTCCCTTTCCCTTTCCCTGGCACTGCAACAAATGATTGTCCTGAGGATGGGATTGCCACAACGGGGTCAGGAGATCTGAAAATTAAATTGACTGAGTAGCCAAAGACTGGCTAAAAGTGGAGGGTGAAGGGGAAAGTCTCCTTAGCATAGCAGCAGCTATAGCACTGGGCATGAAACAGCTGCTCCACAAACTGTTTTGCATGATTGGTTTCCCTGACATTAGCTTCTGAGCCCTTTCCCTAGTTTGCTGACCTGTATATGGTTTTACGTCTTTACATACAGTAAATGCATAACAACTTGTTATTATGGCTCCATGAATGACACACCGCTGCCCTGTAACTTGGTAGCTGTCCCTGTGGTTACATAGACGTGTCTGATTATAGATCAGCCTTTCAAAAGTAATAAAATGAAGTGGCATTTTATGTAACTCAATGGGTTACAGTAGGAAGTTGTTAACAGTAGAGGATTAAAATAAAACTGTTCTTGATATTTAAAATGTGATGAAACGAGGAGAAAAATAAATCCACCCCCAAATGTTGCAAATGACTGCTTACACGTTTGGCATCGGCCAAGATCCTACTTGGAAAAAACCCCTGGGCTCCTTCCCTCAGAGTGTCCTCCCACACCCTTCAAGACATAAAGCTCAAAGGTAGTGTCCACAGTCCACAGGCACACCCAGCATCCTCATTAATAAATGCCACTCATCACATGGGGGTTTTTTGCTTGCTTTCTAAAAAATAGTACCGATAAATCTTCATATTCTGCGCATTTTCTGTGATGAGACTTAAATACAGGGGAGCAGATTTGACACATTTCAGGTTTCCATGTTCTTTAAAGGCAAATGTTTAAAGGTAGGTGTTACATTTAATGTTTATACATTAGTGTGTGTTAATCAAGTGATTGGCTGACTAAAATATTTCAACAGTGATCAGTTAAGGTGTGATTACAAGTTAAATCAAGTTATTTATAACGAGGGACTACATTCAGCTGGAAAGAAACATATGAATAGAAATAACTCCCGAATTTTAGATTATTCATTCGTATCACTTCTAAAATATCATCCCAGCATATTGTCGGTTGCTTGATTTTCCTTTGATTTCTATGACAGGACTGCTACCATAAATAAATGAACTTGCATAACTTTCAGATTGTTGACTGGATGTGGCATTGAGTAAATCACGAAAGGAAAAAGCATATTCTGCAAAACGTATACCTCTGATGAGATGGACTTAGTCTGGCACATTTATTCCCAACATTTTGGCTTGGCATGTACCTATCTTGCATACTTATTAAACACAAGATTCTTTTCCAGAATTCCACTGAATAATTTTTGCCATTAAACACTAAGAAAGAAAAAAAAAATCATCAACCATTCACTATTAAAAGACTTTAATTATTTGGAACACTAACATCAAGAATGTTTACTTGAAAATGTTTCTTTCCACTTTAGTCCATCTTGAAACCTGTTACACTATATTCCACTGGCTAATATTACAAATTACACTGACATGTTTCCTCATACTTGTAAAAGATAGAACTACAGAAAATTGTTTCACAACGTGTTTGGAAAAAACATACAAAGAAATTATTCTTTCTCTCTTTTTCTATGATGAAGCAGAAGCTTAGTTTTGAAGTAACAAGAACAGTCATTATGGAGCTAAATATATTTGACATACTTAACCTCACAAATAAATAAGTATATACAAGGGAGGTTACACCATGTCAACTACAAAGTAGAAGCTTTACATTGTAGAATTGAGAGCATTCAAGAGCATCTAACTGACACAGACAGTTTAAGATTACTACATGGTAGTAAAAAAAGAGAAAAACCTTAAATCAGCAAAAATATAGGTAGCTGTACATTAAACTGATAGGTTACAGCTCAGCTTCAGTCAGAATACTCTGCTTTTTATTTATATTTTACTAATCTATCATGTTTTACTGATTCCTCATTTTTTCAGGAATGTTTGGTTTTCTTTCTCTTCACTTCTGAACACCTCAATCAGGTAGAAATCTCACAGTAAGCTGCTATGTGAACACTATTATCTACAGTAGTTAAGCAAGTGGGATGATAAAATATAAGTTCAGTAAATGCTTGTACACAAACTCTCCCTAAATTATTTCCCTTATTAAAGATATCTGACAACACTCATCCCTGTTAATAATTACATTTAAGTGAATCGGGTTGACTTTCATTCATACCACCAAGTAAGTATCTGCAGTAACGAGACTGAGGTTTCGTTAAGGTCCGTGCAGCGACAGCAGTGTTTCTGGACAGAATACCGTCAGGGCATCCTCCTCCCGCAAGGTGCTGGCAGCCAGGGAAAACACGCCATTTGTGCGGTCACAGCATTAAATGATCTCTGCACGCAAAAGCGCAAGCAAAGAGCAGAGAAAGGCACAAATCCACATCCCTAATCACTGAACATCCACCTGGTTGGCAACTGAAAAATCTCACAGCACAACTTTCTGGTCATCTTCTGAATACAATTAATTAAATATTTGGCTAAAAATATTTTGAAAAAAAAAAAAAGCCTTTTTAAAAATGAAGATTTCCATTAGGAGACACTATGCTCTGAAAACATTATTTGAAAATACCTTTGATGTTTTGGCTCATGCTTTCAGCAACATGTGCAGTTACAACTTTTACAAAACTTGTCATGGGGTGAGACGTGCTTCATAAGGACAGATGCACTTCTGGCAGTCATGGCCATGTGCTAATGTGTCACCTATTTATAGAGATTAAAACAAGTAAGCATTTCATGTTCTTGTCTCTTCTGTGCACACACACACAACTCAGTGTTGTTATGCACACGGGTTGCCTGAACCCTCTTTCAACTCTGTGCCTCCCACAACTTCAACCAAGTCACCAACCGGGGGACAGGAGTGGGATACTGATACTGATAACGTTATGTGCCTGGAAAGATGTTAGTTATTTATTACTGGTAAATGTAGTCCAGGTTATTCTAATGTTGCAATGCCATCTGATGGAGGTGTCTATACATATAGTATATCTGAAGTACAGAGACTGACAAATGAACCCATGGGCTTACAAAGTATTCATCTTGTATTTAAATACTTAAATTTAAGTTTTAGCACCATTCATTGTTCTCAGATTGTCTGTGGTACACATTGTGGTTTCCGCTGTCATATTTACTGAGTGCATTTTGATAAAAATATGCGTGGAGTGTCTTCTATTTTGTTTAGTGAAAAGAATATTAAACACAGAATTGTGATGGGAGATGCCGCATTTCATACACACCAGTCAATAAATGATGAAACATGACTTTGTGTAAACTTTGGATTTACCTCCTGTGTACTTGTTCTGCACAGATGGAGATGATACATACAATTGTTTGTTTCCATATATATCAATGGGCTTAAAATTTGCAGGAGTTACTAGCAACCTGCACACCCTATTCAACCAGCACATCTATGTAATAAGTGTGTTTCTATGTACATGGATACAAAATAGCCTGAATTTACAGCACATACTGTTTTGGTAAGCAAGTTTTGCATGATTAGGTCTATTTAGTGAAAATAGGTTTAAAATAACCCTTGAACACTGGTGTTAGGGTTTTATTCACTTACGAATAAAGAACAAACAGCACTTAGACAGTCAAGAAGGAAGAATCTAACAAGTGTCTCAGGGGAAATCCATGTTCTTCAAAAGAAAAAGACCATCAGTAAACTGTTCAATAAGGGCTTGCCTGTACTGCGTGACAAGTCTGCTATTTTCTCCAGAAGTCAAGACTTGCTTCTGTTTGGACTATATAATTTAGAGATAGGCTTGTGGCTCTTCAGTCTTAAAAAAATATTTACACAGGATTACAATTAGCTGTCCAGGTATCATGTTGGCTGGCACACATTTAAGAACAGCTCAATACCATGGTGGAAAATTGTCTTTTTCCACAACAGTAAAAAGGTAGAGAAATTGGTCCTCGAGTGGAAGCTGTTATCAGGAGAACATTATAATCTGGGAACAAAAATAACCAAACAGGTCACATTCTATGACATCCAGTATTCTCAATTCCAGGCAGAATTTTGTCTTCCTTTGGTTCAAAAAATTCAGAAGCCCAGTTAGAACTTTGTGCTGTGACTAAATGTGTCGGACATGATGATATTTTTATAGAAGTTGTCGGAGTGCGGATTGCAGTATCCCTTGACCTTGTCAATAACCTGGTGGACAGGGATGATTGATGTCTGTTCTCCATCCTCTTGAGCAAATTTTGAAGACGGCTTGTCAAGAAAAACATTCTCTAGGAAGAGGAAAAAGCAACAAGAAGTCAGGGCTTCTTAAGCAAACTCATGGTTTAAGAGGTGTGTCACTCCCACATAGATATGCCTTCAATTGCCTCCACTGCTGAATGAAATTACTGCCCTAAAAGCCAGCAAACAACTTGGCTTGGCATTGCTGCTTCTAAATTCTTTTCAGATGCCAGGTTTTGTGGGCAAATCTCTCAGGTCTATCTTAAAATTATCCCCCTATTGTTTCACTTAAAGTGTAACTGACTCCTACAACCCTTTAATATATTAATTTACTGTTGATGATTTGAATCTTAGAAACTAAAAACATTTCCATAGCACTGGAAAAGGGCTGACCTCTGTAACATCTGGTAAACAATATCTTCATATCATAAAGTAGTGGAAAATGACAGTAAATGGATTTAATTGTGTCAACAGTGGAGGTTTTAAGCTATGCACAGAAATAATGTATTCGGCACAGTATGTAGCAGATGATGACTTGCGTCTTAAATAAGATAACCAGAGCCACAACTGGCCTAAACTTTGTGCTTGCCTAGCATCGCTTTGTCTTTTTGATAATGTGGAGGGTACAGACTGAACAACTGTGGGGAGGAAAAGATGCAGAAAACTGGCATCCCTTCAGGGTTCATGTGCTATAAGCCAAGAGTAGAGCCGAAGAGAAAAAGGAGCAAGGCAATTCCCAGCCGGGCTGGGAAAGTCTGCTTCAGCGGCTAACAGTATTGCTGTTCGGAGAACAGTCAGTAGGTAGAGCTCATGTAATGCGCAATGAGAAGGAGAGAGCCCATATCTCATTTTCTGAAGTACATTATCCTAATGAGCTTTCTTTCTTATCTCTTCCACTGTAGTGAATAAAGCTGCAATTAATTCTCTTAAGCCAGGCAAGGTTTGGACCATCGCAAGTAAGATGTAGTACCCTGTGAAGCAATGTTTTCTACAAGTGACGTTTTTGATGGTTGTGTGCAAGACCTCGGTGAAATCACCTTCAAAAATTCCTTGGTAAAGGATCATTTAACCATTTTTTGTATTGTTTAAACTATGATTTCATGAAAAAATTGTTTCTTACAGAAATAAATCAGTAATTAAAAACAAACAGAAAAGTAACCCGCCTCTGCAGAAGTCATGATATCAAGCCATAAGAGAGCATAAAGTGTTGCATGAAGGAGAAATGGATTGCAGAGTGAGAAATCGAAACAGTTGTACTCATGAAAAAAAAGAAACAGGCATGTTCAGGCATATCAGAATTATTTTTTCAAAGCACGCAAGAATGTCCATGAATCGCAGCAAATAACTCCATGTCCAATAGCAAACTGCTGGGTACTGTGTACCTTTCAACTGTATGCATTTATTAGCCAATGGTACTACATTTTGAAGTTTTTCTACATGTTTAATATCTTATTACAAAGATGAAATGTTAATTCTTAGTCTTATGGGAAGGTTTTTCAAATTCCTTGCAAATATGTACACTTTTTTTCACAAGACATCATTACATTGTCAAATACCAGCTATTTCCTCATGAAATTTGCATGCACAGGAATTATGTAAGTCCTTTGAAACTAGTGGAGCCCTCTTTTTTTTTAGCTCAATGGGCTTCACACCCAACTACAGGGTTAAAATCCTGGATCGCTGAAGTAAATAGGAGTTGTACCACCAAATTCACTGCAGAAATAATTTTAACTTCTAATTCACAGAATTGTTATATATAGTATCTAAGTACTATCTGCAACAAGTTTGTATCAGACTCGTAGACCTCAGGGTCATGAGATGCCAAAGTGATTTCTTTCATCCACCCAGTAGGGTCCCATCCAATATTTATGTCCCAGTCAGTGCATTCTGCATTCAACCAACAGTTCACAGCACAGCTTTCAGGCATATATAGTTTGTCATTCAGACTTACTTTGTGTGTGACTGGACATGAAAAAACAGTGACTAGAAGACTAATTCCATAATGGCCGTAGGCCAAATAGAAATACAATATCTTAAAGTTCCTGTAATAACTTTTAAAAATATAAAACGATTTTCTAGGACTCAATCAGATTGGTTTTGCTTTTTAATGTATGCTTTGTGTATGGGTGTTCCAACTTAATTTACTTTCCTCAGACTACTGTAAAAAGGCATTAATGTCAGGACATGGTCTGTCTTCTAAAATGGTGTCTTCCAAATGCTTCATGCCCCGTGCAGAGTGCAGACACCCAGAGTTTGAAGCACGCTTATCCTCTGATTCAGCATCAATGGCGCAAGATGTAATAGTGAGAAACAAGCAGCGTTTCTGATTAGCAAAGTCCTTTGTGTCAATGAGGATATCATGCAAGTGGCATCCCTCCACCCTGTTCAAACCATGCATTCAACAAAAGCAATTCTCACTTTACCTGTAATGCTTCACCACTGATGAGGAAAGGGCCTTAGAAGACATTATCTATACCACAAACACATGAATGCTCATGTCAATTCCAGTGAGCACATTATAACCATATTAACAAGAGTTGCCAAGACATGTAGCTATTACATTATTTGCCTGAAATTTAGCTAAGACATCAAAATGAGAAGTTCAGCTGTATTAAAAAATCAGAATCTTAATGTTATTTTCTATTATTTTAACAGGTGAGAAGATATGTCAGTATTTAAAAAGCTAGCATTAGCAAAAATTCCGTTGGAGTATCACAATAAAATGTGTATTTTCAGAGGTGAAACCAAAATGTATTAAAATTTTAAAAGTATAGAGAAAACTGTGGCATTTTCTTAACGTCCAATAAACAATCACATTACAAACGATGATTATATTACCAACTGCAATCCCTTTTAGGAAATAATTTAGGCATGGGATTAAGCTCACCACTTCTGTAGAAAGGACACAAGCATGTTCCTATCTGCAAGTTTCTTTTAACTCACTTCTTATCTGGAACTGTTTTATTGTTTTGCTTCAAGAACGCATTGCAAAAACTCCAGCACTAAGTCTCTTTAATTGTCAGACTGATAAAAAGCCCTGAGTCCAACAAAACATTTAAGCATATTTTTATCGTTAATCCCAATACCAAGGGTCTAAAGGTTGATCTGCCACAAGTAGAAATGGGAATTCTCTGTCCGCAGAATGGAGAATGCTCTGCAGCGGAAAGGGCATGACGCTCTCGTACTCCACTATTAAATTAATAGTAGCACTGTGATCGGTGGATATTGTAGATGCTGTTCGTGGAAGACGTCTGACAGAAGTGTTCCTTCACAGAAGAGAGAGCTGAAGACAGCTTGCTTAGGGCAGCTGGGTGCATGGCACATCAAAGCTGAGATGGCAGCAGGGACAGGCACCCTGGTGAGGCAGCTGCCAGCTGTGTGCTCCCCCCGCGGCTGGGAATGGCAGTCCTGAGAGCAAGCTCAGGTACACTGGGGAACTTCTAAGATACTGGTCATTCTTACTGCATTCAAAGTAAATGTACTGCATGTATATTCTTGATACCCAAAAAAGACTTGCACTCTTAAAATACCTGATGCACAACCTCTCATGCTAATGGATACACTGAATATTGGGTTAGTGGTTACAGCCACAGAGCAGAAGTGTGTAATTCTTAAAAAAATGGGAATTCTAGGCAAAAATTGTGTGCCTAACTGAACCAGGTAACAATCATCATTAAATAGGGAGGTTATTTCCTGGAAAGCATGCCACATTTCAAGAAAGGAGACTGTACAATCATAAATGAGACCTTAGCGACTTCTGAAAATAATTTATTCTTAAGAAACAGTGGAACTTTCCTTCCAGTAAAATTATCTATTTCATATCTAAAACATTGCTTCTAACAAATATTTTAAAGCAAGAACATAAATCTTTAGGTTAAATATGTGTGCATATTTTATTTCTGCTATGTTTTAGAACAAGATTCTATGATGTTATATGACTTTATACAGGACAAAAACAGGAGTTCACAAGAACTCAGTAACAAAAAATCTGAAGTATTTAAGTAATTTTCTAAAATATTATCTCAGACATAAGCCAACAGACTTGCAAATCGTTTCAGCTCCTCTCTTTCTGTGCTCCTTTAAAGTGTTCTTACAAAGAACACATTTTTATGGCAAGTGGAATAAATACACATGATGCCTTTTATTACATACACCATTGACATCTAAATAAATAAGCAGCAGATATGGCATGCTATTTGTGGAAGGGAAAGATAATGCATACTCTGGGAACACAGTATCCCTTTACAAGTATGCTCCATGTGTCGCTTTACCCATTAGTTGCACTTAAACGGAAGCAGTTTGACCGACTGAATCAACTTGGACTCACAAGACTTGATTGCTATCTCCATCTGCACTGCTAGCTTTTGTGTTACCTTGGGCCATGAACGTCACAGAATCATAGAATTGTTATGGTTGAAAGAGACCTTTAAGTCCAACCGTTAACCTAACACTGCCAAGTTACTACTAAACCGTGTCCCTGAGCATTACATCTACATGTCTTTTAAATACCTCCAGGGATGGCAACTCCATCACTTCCCTGGGAGCCTGTTTCCATGTTTGACAACCCTTCAAGTGAAGAAATTTTTCCTAATATCCAATCTAAACCTTCCCTGGCGCAAGTTGAGGTCATTTCCTCTTGTCCTATCGCTTGTTACCTGGGAGAACAGACCAACCTCCACCTTGCTACAACCTCCTTTCAGGCAGTTGTAGAGTGATAAGGTCTCCCTTCAGCCTCCTTTTCTCCAGGCTAAACAACCCCAGTTCCCTCAGCCACTCCTCATAAGATTTGTTCTTCAGACCCCTCACCAGCCTTGTTGCCCTTCTCTGAACACGCTGCAGCACCTCAATGTCTTTCTTGTACTGAGGGGCCCAAAACTGAACAAAGTACTCGAGGTGGGGCCTCACCATTGCTTGGTACAGGGGACGATCACTTCCCTAGTCCTGCTGGCCATGGGGTGCTTTGTGCCTTCTTGGCCACCTGGGCACACTGCTGCCTCATATTCAGATGGCTATTAACCAACACCCCCAGGTCCTTTTCCACCAGGCAGCTTTCCAGCCACTCTTCCCCAAGCCTGTAGCACTGCATGGGGTTGTTGTCACCAAGTGCAGGACCCGGCACTTGGCCTTGTTGAACTCCATACAACTGGCCTCAACCCATTGATCCAGCCTGTCCAGATCCCCCTGTAAAGCCCTCCTAACCTCAAGCAGATCAACACCCCTGCCCAGCTTGGTGTTGTCTGCAAACTTACTAGGGGTGTACTCGATCTCCTTGTCCAGATCATTAATAAAGACATTAAAGAGAACCGGCCCCAATACTGAGCCCTGGGGAACACCACTTGTTACTGGCCGACAACTGGATTTAACTCCATTCAGCACAACTCTTTGGGTCTGGCCATCCAGCCAGTTTTTTACCCAGTGAAGAGTACGCCTGTCCAAGCCATGAGTAGCCAGTTTCTCCAGGAGAATGCTGTGGAAAATAGTGTCAAAGGCTTTACTAAAGTCTAGGTAGACAACATCCACAGCCTTTCCCTCATCCACTAAGTGGGTCACCTTGTCATAGAAGGAGATCAGGTTAGTCAAGCAGGACCTGCCTTTCATAAACCCATACTGACTGGGCCTGATTGCCTGGTTGTCCTGCATGTGCCATGTGGTGGCACTCAAGATGATCTGCTCCATAACCTTGCCTGGGACTGAGATCAGACTGACAGGCCTGTACTTCCTCATATCCTGCTTCTGACCCTTCTTGTAGATGGGTATCACATTTGCTATCTTCCAGTCAACTGGGACCTCCCCAGTTAGCCAGTGCTGCTGATAAATGATAGCAAGTGGCTTGGTGAGCGCTTCTACCAGCTCCCTCAGTACCCTTGGGTGGATCCCATCTGGCCACATAGACTTGTCTGTGTCTAAGTGGTGTAGCAGCTCACTATCCATTTCCCCTTAGATTATGGGGAATTGATTCTGCTCCCCCTCTCTGTCTTCCAGCTCAGGGGGCTGGGTACCCCGACAACAACTGGTCTTAGTATTAAGGACTGAGGCAAAGAAGGCATTAAATACCTCAGCCTTTTCCTCATCCTTTATCACTATGTTTCCCCCCACATCCAATAAAGGATGGAGATTCTCCTTAGTCCCTCTTTGGATGTTTATAGAAACATATTTTATGGTCTTTTAAGGCAGTAGCCAGGTAAAGTTCTAGTCGGGCTTTGGCCCTTCTAATTTTCTCCATGAATAGCCTCATGAAATCTTTGTAGTCTTCCTGAGTGGCCTGCCCCTTCTTCCAAAGGTCATAAACTTTCCTTTTCCTCCTGAGTTCCAGACAGTGCTCTTGGTTTAGCCAGGCTGGTCTTCTTCCCCACTAGCTCGTCTTACAGCATATGGGGGCAGCCAACTTCTGAACCTTAAAGATTTCCTTCTTGAAGAATGTCCAGCATTCCTGGACGCCTTCGCCCTTCAGGAGTGCCTCCCAAGGGACTCCATCAACCAGTCTCCTAAACAGATTGAAGTCTGCCCTCTGGAAGTCCAAGGTGACAGTTCTACTAACCCCCCTCCTTACTCCTTCAAGAATCAAAAACTCTGTCATTTCATGATTGCTATGCCCAAGATGTCCTCCAACCTTCACATCACCCCCTAGTCCTTCTCTGTTTGCAAACAACAGGTCCAGCAGGGCACCTTCCCTATTTGGCTTGCTCACCAGCTGTGTCAGGAAGTTATCTTCCACGCATACCAGGAACCTCCTAGACTGTTTCCTCTCTGCTGTGTTGTATTTCCAGCAGATGTCTGGTAAGTTGAAGTCCCCCATGAGAACGAGTGGTAGTGATTCTGAGACTTCTCCCAGTTGCTTATAGGATATTCTGCCTGCCTCTTGATCCTGGTTGGGTGGTTTATAACAGACTCCCACCACATCTGCTTTGATGGCCCTTCCCCTGATTCTTACCCATAAACACTCAACCCTATTGTTACCATCATTAAGTTCAAGAAAATCAAAACACTCCCTAACATACAGGACCACTGCACTGCCTCTCCTTCCTGGCCTATCCTCTCCGAAGAGTTTATAGCACGTCACCTCTCTGTGCTTTTGTTACTCTTGTGTTTACAATGGGATAGTAAGACTTAACTTCTTTTAGCCAAAGCAGTGAAAGTGCTATAGAAAAAGTAAGGTTTGCTTTTGTCATGCCTGCTTTGTTTAGTACAGGAACATACCCAGATAAGAACTATATATTGGATGTATTGCATATTAGGTTATGATTCTTATTAAACAGTAACATATATTTTAAAAATACTGAAACTATATAAATTGGTGAAATTTTCTCACATTAACCTTTGGGTAGAAACTCCTACTGTACTTTTAACATGAAACTATGTATTTACAGATGTAGTGTGTTACAGTGCAAGAACTCACCTGTATGGCTGTTCCGTTTGCAATATGTTGTTGTTGTAGATTTTGATTTGGATGTTAAGTAGGTTGAATTGGAGCCAATGGAACTAGAGGATAAGGATTTCCCAAGATTATCAGAACTCTTCTTTATAATATTGGTTGCTGTTTTGCTCCAATCTAAAAATGATTGAAAAGTTTTACAGAAATAATTACCATATGTACTAAAAGACTACTGTATTAAATCATGAACATTTCAGGTATCAGATGCATTTCTTAATGTTACTTATAACAAACAACCTATCCTTTTCCTGTCGGGTAGCTTCTTTGGTTCCAACTTGATTTACTTTGCTGTTTACCACAATCATTAAAATTGGTTGCTCTAACACACTATATATCATTTTGCTGGATGGCAGAACTGTAAGACCCAGCTTTCCAGGATGCCGGAGAGCAGTGAAGATCTGCAGCAATATAAGACTGCCAAAGTTTCATCACCTGAACAGAGAAATCTGAGGGATGGATAGGAAAGAGATAGATAGGAGCATTTACAGAGGTTTTATTGTTTGATGGCTTGGTCTGCTGAGATAGGTACTACACACTAGTGGATTTGCACTTGTTGTTATAGGGTTTAGAATATTGGTGTATTACCAAAAAAAAAAAGAATAATAATGGTTATTTAGTAGTTCACATTTGAAGCATTTTGTCTGAACCATTAATGCAGTAGTCCAAAACTTCCAAAATTAAATTAAATAACTAATACCAATAAACTTACTGAGGAAAACTGACACTGAAAAATTCATCATGTGTCCCAATACTAGTAGAATAAGTGCATCTAACTACTTTTGTATCATATACCTGCAGGTAGGTACAGGTAATTTCACACTTTAGTCTTGTTGCTGTAATTCACTGTACTGCAATGAAATTCACAAAATGGAAGAGAAGTCCAAAGCAAAGACACAATGACCACTTTAGCCTCGATTTAAATCAAGACAAATATTTTATCCTGAATCACTGCCGTAAGGTATAGGTTACTATTTCTTTGATCTAGCTATGGCAGTGTTGCAAGGCTTTGGCTTGTTTTTCTCTTTGCTTTATCATAGCATGCCCTAAAGTACATTTCAACTGGATAGGTTTGCAAGTTCACATATTTCACTGCTCTGCCTGAAAACTGTGTCAGATTCATGAAGAATAAAACCAGCTGGTGGTGATGGACTGGTTAACGCTAGGTGTAATGACAGCACATTAACTATACCAACGAAGTACTCAAATGCTTCAGGCTTTTTATTGCTATCATACCCACAAGCTGCCCAACAGCAGCATAAAAATGTGGAAATAATTTGATCCGTCTGTGTTTTCCAATTCAGGAGTTACAGCCTGAACCACATGGAAACTGAGCATACGAAACAATCTGGATGCCTGATCAGAATGAATATGCTTTTCCTAATTTGTATTAACTCATTAACTCTTTGAAGTCATGAATCAGGTTTTCTTACAACAAAGTGAAAGTATAAATGTTTTATAGTGTACAATGAGAAAGCATTCTCTAAACAAAACAGAGCAAAACAAAGCAAAAGTCTTGATGGCAAAGCAGTTACTCAAAACCTTGAAACAAACCTTGGACGCCAAGAGAGAAAGGACACAAGGGTATTTGGAGCACAGTTGTTATCCGGGACAGACTGGCTTCCCTTACTAGGCAATGAGCTTATGCCACCTTACACCAACTATAGATTTCAACCCTGGTCATTGAGCAAGAACCATATGAACAAGAATTATATGGTCCAAACCCATTACACCATAAAGCAAACCAAGATCCAGTTGCCTAAACACAGGGGTCTAATGACACCTGAGATGCCCAAACGTGCAGGAGACTATAAACACAGTGTCCCAAGCGCTGCACTTCAAAGTGTCCAAACCAACCACTCTCCTTTCTCTCTGAGAGTCACAGATAAAGATGAACTTCAATTCTGGAACCTAATCAGGCTTCTGCTAAAGGAATTTCCTATGTTTTTGAGTCTCTGATTACATGGTTTTCTCTGAATTACATGGTGAAGGACAGGCCAGTTTGAAAAGGCAAAGATAAAGGCAAAAACCCTCAAAGTATTTCTATCTGCCTTTTAAGAATTGCTCCTACATCAACCTAACAGTCCATATAATTCAGTAAACATACTGTAAGGTAGGAGAAAAGCAGTAAGATTGGCTTTTGACTGACAGAGTCCGGATCTCTGGATCTTTATTTAAATTTTTATTTTATTTTCAGGGTCCAAAGGGCCTTCCAAAACCATGCTCAAAGCACTACAAAATTTACCAGCTGCCTTCAGTGGAAAACTGAAAGAGAAGACCTGAGAATTTTTATGAAGTGATATCTGAAAAGTCCCTTGGCAATTGTTAGTACTGAAGTGAAAGCCTATGATTAATCTATTTTTCCACATCTCTGGCCTACGTTGTATTATATTAAAAATGACATAGCTAACTGTTCACCTGGACTTTTATGGACTACTGCAGCACTTAAGGAGGGGAGCTATGAATGGCTTTTACCTGAATTGTCTGCCAGTCGGAATCTGCCACAACAGAGATGTCTCCTCCATTGTTTCTGCACATTTTCTTTCATGGCACAATGGAATACAAATATAAATAAACCTGCAACAAAAGCAAATAAACAGCAAGTGAAGCCTGCATTTATAAATAGACAAACAGTAACTAAAATCTGCTAACAAACGACTATGAAGTACAAGTAAAGGAAAATCATCATAAAGTTTTCATATTGTCAATCTATGCCTCATTTAAGAGGTATGGAAAATAATTAAATCTTTCCCATCCTCTAGCTGCTATATAAGTGCTTGGGATATCAGAAGAGAGCGAATAGAACCCCTTTTATTGACACTGTTGATTTAGATCCATCTCAGTGTGGATCTTTTAATATTTATTTTTTTTTTGGCTTAGAGGAAAATAATTAAAAGGTTTTGTCTTTGAACTAAATGAGTATTTTGCAACAGCAAAAGCCAGATTGGAAAGTAAATACAGACACTATTACATTGGCAAGAAAGTATTTTGTCGCCTCCTACTCCATATCTACAGAACCGTGGGCTGTATTCTTCTAAAGCTGAAAGTCTTGTGATTGGCACTGCCCTGAAAAATCCCACTTGTGTGTATGTACATCACATGCATATACTTGAACTGATTATGAATAAGAATAAGTAATATAAGAATAAGTAATATAAGTAAGAATATATTCACAAGTACTAATTAGGTGTCCAGCAACTTACTTCTGAAGAAAATAACCTGGTTGCAAGAAATGTGTTTTAAGAATGTTTTTCTGGAGTTCATATTTCTCATGCAATTGTATAATCTTTATTTTCAAGACAATATATAAGCATCTACCATGTGGTAAAGAAGGTCCTAACTGGGTGTATGGTATGATTTCATCATTCTACAGAGATACTTTGGAGCTAAATATAGAAGTTGGAAATCTCATATGCTCCTGGCGCTTCCCAGGCAGGCACTGGCTGTGGAATCTTCCGTCGTTCTCTGGCTTGGCCTGTTCTTGTTTTACTTTTTATTCACTGGGAGAGAGCCAACCTGGAGCCAAACACCTGATGGCAAAATGTTACTGCCAAATCCCTCATGACTGTACCTTAAATATTAATAAATGCTACACGAAGTGGGCAAACAGGGTTAAGTGCCATCCTCTGAGACTGTTCCTTTATGACCACCATGAATAGCTCCGTATACTAATGCCGACTATGTTTCAGCTGGCAGAACACAACAGCAGGGTATAGCTTAGAAAAAAACTGCTCTGGAGCACAAAATTATCCTCTCTGCTCCAAAGTGCTGAGGTCTAATTCTGCATGAATGCTTGTCATTGAACTGGACCTGTATTTGCTTATAGCCGTCAGGTCAGGCTGCGACCCCTGAGATCAATTAACTTTGGGTATAAAGATTGTGTCATGAAACATGTTTTTTGCAAAATTTTTCAAGAGCTGATGGGGAAAAAAAGCAGCACAATTTAAGGAAGGCAAACATACCTTAGTGCATCCCATATGCAAGCTCTGTTGAATTATGGTTACTATGTTTGCATTTAGTAAAATATTTCTGTGTGTGATTTCTTTTAAGCACAGTAATTTCAATGCAGTCACTAGCAGCTCTTACAGGCTTAGAGTTATGCAGTTGTTTGTGGCCCAAAGTACCTCTTAGGACTTCTGTACAACTACAAACTTACTAAATTGCTGCTTAATTAAATTGTGGTGAATGTTTGGAATACTCTGAATGGTTAAAAAAGAAAATGCGTATGTCTATAGTAATACAAAACGAATGTACTGCATTAAGTACTTTGCCTTTGCCCTGTCTGGGCTTGGTCTCTGAATTTTTTTTCTCTGTGTTTCATTATTCATTAAGTTTACAATGTGCTTTAGTAATACAGCTTTGGTTTTGTTTCCCAGAGTCAAATCAGACCCTAGGCTTGGCTCTGCCTTGGCTCTGACTTGAAAGTATTTGGCTTGCCCAGGCATATATATAAAATGAGCAGCCAAAAAAGAGATGTTCCCAGATTTTTTATTCTGAGCATCAAAGAGAGAAAAATCATTTCCTATGTAGATGAAATAACAAAGTACAGTAATACCAGTAGTTGCTGCAATTTACTTTTTCAGTGCCAGTGCACAGTAAACTAGGTTGACGGAGACTGCTGGTATAGCTTAAAATACTAGTGCAATATTCAAAAACTTGCGAGAGAGAATAAACATATTTACTGAGGGCTCAATAATTAAGCTCATGCTAATACTGATGAAAGACCTGGAATACTGAACTTCTTTTTGCTGCTAGGAGATGCTTCCAGATACAAATACTAAATTTTTCTTCACTCCATTCCGTCCCCTTAATGCTACGTGTGCACTACACCAGTTGTATGTGACTTTAAACATCTTCTTTCTTGTTTCTTTAGCTTTGCCTAGCTCTTTCTGACACAGCAATAAGCATTTTCAGATATGGGATTGCTGTCTTCCTGTGCTTGATATGACACGCCTGAACATAAACTGTGCCATCTTTGCTACCACAACCTGTGAAAAGCTCACCACTCTTCTTTTTGCGTTTACTCCTCAGGTTTTTGAGTTTCAGCTTCTGAGTTAACTGCCTTACAAATATTCATTTTCCATTGAACAGTGCTATTACCCCACAGAGACTTAAGCAGTGGTGGTCAACCTTGTGCGCACTCTGCACATACAAGCTTAATTGATTGCACTGGAAATTCTGGTTAGAGAGAACTCGTTGAATATGATCCTTGGCGTGCTTTTCAGTGTTTTAATCTGTTTTCATGGTCTTCCCATATTTCTAATCTCTCTAGGCCCTTCTGAATTTCTAACACGGACACATTGAAGCAAATACTTCATTATGCTGCTAGGGGAGTATCAGAATCTGTCCTTTGGAAAAAAAGTCTTTAGTAAGAACATCACATCCGAACAATTTTTTGCCATTTTGCCTAGCATTTTAGGTTGAAACTGACCCAAACCAAAAGCCACAACATTATTCTCTTTCCACGAAAGCTCAATAAATCTCTTAGCACAGTAAATGCGTCTCAACTGTAACAGATAAAATCCACACAGTATAACATTAAGTACTTTTTCCATAAAGGGAAGATATTTTGCTGACCCTGGGAAAATTTATTTTTTATCTCAATATTTGTGTGGCATAACACGCTCCTCCAATGGCATTCTTGGGTTTGTTTTTTGTTATGTTTTTTTATATCAACACCTGCATGGTATAACATATGCCCCTTCCATGACCTTCTTGAGTTTTTCTTTTTGTTATGTTTTTAATTGTTCTGTATTAGTGGGCCGGGCAAGCAGAGGTGGAGATTCTTACATCTTTTGGTACATACGCAAATTTCAGCTCTGAGCCGAAATTCTTTTAAATGTCAGCTATATAATTCTGTAATTTATAACCATTTGATTAAAATTTATAACATTTTTCAGAAGGATGAACTATGTTGGAAAAGTAAAGCACTCAAAACTACAGTAAAGGAAACAAAAATAAGCTGACTGTAACAGTTGCTGGATTTTCCTTAAAGGACCAAATAATATCTCATACCTCTGTGCTATCTGTCCACACTGAAACAGGACTGAATTTTGTTTTATGAGCTTCTCATGCCTTAATAAAACAATTATGAGCTTTACAGATTCCCTACAGGAATAAATTAAGGAAAGAGGCTTCCTATATTCGTTATAATCAGTGAAAGGAAATGTTGAAGGTCATATAGCATCTATCTCAACAGAAATCATTGCAGACTGTTAGCTAGGAATAGCACTCTTTATAATACAGTGCATTTTATGGAAAAGACCTTGAAACATTAATTAATTTAACTAAGATATTCAACCCATATGTAGTTGGTATCATTATTCTGCATAAGGGGAAACAAATGAGGGTTTAATATCAAGGAAAAATCTGGATCTGAGTTCCCTAGTCAAATCACTGGACATAACATGTCCCAGAACAGCAACATCTCAAATATTATTTGTTCACAGAAAAGAAATTCAGCTTACCTTGCAATGAATTGAAAATTGAGAAGAGGTACAGGAAAGGAAGAGTTAAGGGACCCCAGGCAAAAAAGGCAAAGCCCCACGTCATGCCCAGGAGGAAGGTCAGGCTGACCACACTACGGAGGTTCCTCAGGATCTCTTCCTTCAGGCTCCGATTAGTTCTTTTCCCATTCCTCCCACAGATCTGCACCATCACCACAATAAACATGGCAACATTCATCAGAAACATGATTCCAAAGTAGCCGGCACAAGTCACATAAAACACAACTTCATTCTTGATCCAGCAGCTGTAAAAAACCACAAATATATGATCATTTTTAGATAATGCAAACTATCCTCCGATTATTTATAGGACTACAAGGAAAATCAGTCTATGTCTGATACCACTGATGCAGAGCTATACTTTGAAATGAAACCTTTGTCCATTTTCTGTTTGTAAATAGGACGAAGCCCAGTGGCATCTTAAGCAACTATGGCCCATAGTATTATCATGTCAGAAATCTGAGGGTTGTACCACATTTTAGTTAAAACTAAAAAGGAAATCTGACCTCAGATACAAGCTGTGGGAACTGCAATCCCATCGTGGGAAGTTTAGACTCAGTATGAGTAGCTTCACCACCTTCATCTGTTTGAAGCACAGGACGCTTTAGTAACAGAATGGGCAAACATAGATCTTCAGTATCAAAATCTCAAGTTTCTGCCACTTGAGCTAAAGAAGAACCCATATATCTCTGGAGAAGCAGCAGGATGGGTAGTCCTTCGAGACAGCCATTTGACAGTGGGCCATGTAAGAGATCTAGCTTATTCCTCTAGCAGCAAATGGCCGGAATGCTTAGCATGATACTTCAATAAAAATACAGAATGACATTTTTATTTATCATGATGAAGCTTTGCCAGGTAAGGAACAGAAAATGAGGTAACAGTCATATAAAAATTCTGGCATTTGGGGATTATTATCTGGACATCAAGCGAAGAACATAGGAAGCTATTGAACTACATTGACAAAAGGCTGGTTTATTTACAAAGATGACTATTTTTATACTACTTCTTTCTTTGCTTTTACCTAGAAGATATAACTTTCATTTAAGATAAACCAAATCTGGTATTTTTATTCTATTTTCATTAAAAAACTTATGAATTATTCTTTGCCAGAGGAGTTTTTGTACCTGGCGCTGGGATTTCCCTCCAATTTTTCTTATTGCCTTCTTCACACTTCAGATTCAAGTAATTTAAAGACGATTTTGCCCACTTTGCTTGTTTAATGCAACTCTGACTTTTCCAAAGCAATCTGACTGATGTTAAATTTGGGTTGTTTTTTTTTTCAGATTGTAAATGCTAAATTATAAGAGATCAAAACAAATACTCACAAGTCATCTCCTCCTTGCCCATTAGCGTCTTTGCCATATAACTCTTTGCCATAAACATGACTTGCATTTGTATTAGCACTTGCTAAAACAATTGCTATCACCAGAGCTGGAAAACCTGTAACACAAGAAAACTTGTAGTTTGCTTTCAAATCTCCTAAACCTCTAAAATCACCAGGCAAAGCTGAATTATTGATGTCTCCGTCCCTATTGCTTTAGTACAGAGTATCCTGAGGTAGTTCTATGTCAGAAAACTGCATAGAGAAGTAAAAGGAAACAATTTTTCAAACAGCACAAATGTATAAAACTTTCAAAGCACTTAATGGACATTAATGAATAAGCCTTATAATATTCTGCAAGGTAGAAAATGTTATTGTAGTATGCCATATGGAAACTAAAGTAAAATAATCTCCCTTAATTACCCAGAGTTAAATTTGCAATTGCACACAGGCTCTCATAATATAGTGAGAAGAAGATTAACAAACTATTACAAAAATGAGATCTACCTGTGGGATGGTATTGGGATTTTTTTAAGGGATTTCTTTTTTCAGAGATGCTAATGTCACTTGATTAGGCTGGGGAACTGGGGAACATGAACTTCAACCTGTAATTTCTCTGCTGCTTCTCTCAACTGTAAATGTCTTCTCTTTTTCTATAGCATTATATATCCTTTATGTGTCCCCCCCAAAAATGAAGCAAACTATATATTTTTTCAATAATAAGGTAAAGGTAATGTTTTTGGAAAACAGACAACTATGCGGAAGAGAACTCTGGGCAGAGAGGTACAGGTCACACAAAACAAATGTAGGTTTCCTGACATGCCTTATTTACATGTCTTATCCTTGCTGTGACAAAACAGATTCAAAGGGGAAGAGGTTAATTTGCTTTTCCGACCACTCAGTCCTTGTCCTCTGCTGAGGTTGCCAAAGAGGATGCTAGTTGCCAATGGAAAGACATCAATTATCATCTGGACTGAGGTCAGTTCTCTAGCCATGAGGTTAATGGCTTTGCATTGTGTTGTATTATTTCAAACACAATATGTGCATTCAGGCAGAAGGCACAGATTCCTGATATAGAAAAAAAAAAAAGAATAAAGGCCTTGCTGCCTGAGCCCCACAGTTATTTTTCAGTATTACATTTTCCATTTCAGTCCTGCCGTGTACACTGCTTAGGGCAGGCAGGATCTCTCTGTGGTTTAAACACTGTGCTGAAGCTCAGGAAATGTTGGTTGTTTCTGATTCTGCCACAGGCTTTGTACTTGTTGGCAAGAAACTTTAAGCTGGATTGAAAGCTTTTTGAAAGTCAATATGAGGATCCCCATAGGCTTTGCAGCAACCGCAAGAGTTTCTGAATTCATTGTGTGCCACGGTCCTCCATCTCTGATATGACACTAACATTTCCCCTCTCCCATTCTGGCCTCTCTGTAAAGTAAGACCAGTTTATCTGGTCGCTCCACTCCTCCTCAGGCTGTGAACTGCTCTGGGTGGAGAGCGCCAGTTATGGTGTGTTTGCACAGAGTTATACCGGGGAACTCATCGGCAGAGAGGACTGGCTGTACGCCGCGGCAGGGGGAAGGAAACGCCACGCTGATTTTCTTGTTGCTCTGCTCTGCATTTGAGAGCTTTTATGTAGCATCATTTCAAAATACACGCTATGTAAATACTGCATCTGCTGAACTCACCCCAGCCAATGATGCAAAACTTCAGTATATATCGCCGTATATAGGTGTTGAATACTTTCACTAGAGCGATGTACATATGAACAGCTTCTAGTCCCATCCACGTAAAGGTGGCCAGAAGAAAAAAGTGCAAAAGTGCAGCTACAGCTATGCAGAGGCCATCTATGTCAAATGATGCAATCCAACCATCAAGCAAGAAGATCAGGTTAAGAAAGAGCAGGGCTGTGCTCAAATTCATCAGGATTTTGGATGGATAATCTCTTCGCAACTTCCTAATGAGAGAAACACAGGTGCATATGATTAATTAGCTTCAATCACCCAAGCTGCTTACAGCAGCTGGGTTTACCAGTTTACAGTATCAATAAAAGCACAGGGCTCTCCCTCCTAGCTGTAAGCCTTTTTGGCAATAAGGCATAGTAATGTGTACTTCTGTGTGATACCACTGAAGGCTTCTGCTGTATGGGGTGGGGGAAAGCCACCAATTAGCCTGGGTCCTTTATGAGCTAATTAACTGCCACAATATTTTAGCAGCTGATTTATTATTAAAAACCTTTCAAATTAAATATAATACAATGTGTTTTGTACTTTAAATGAAAACTGAAGAAAATAAAACTTTCAAAATACAGCTGACCTGAAGCTCGTCTCTAATCATTTTACATATAAATCTCTGCTTAGTTTTTGGAATATATTGTCCAGTGCATGCTGTTTTCTGCTTGTTCGTTTATTTGTTTGTTTTTGTTGTTGTTGTTTGATTTGGTTTGGTTTTTGGTTGTTTTGTTGTTTTTTTTTAATAATAGGATCTTAGGAAGATTGAAGATCAAATCAATTTTCTTTTTTACCTGATACACATTGAAATGTAAGAACTGAGGGGCAAGCTAACAATTTCTGCCATCTTGGACCAGAACGTTATACCATAGGTAATGCAACAGGAACACCGTCATTGGAGATATTTTGAACTCGAAAACCCCTTTTCCTCCCGACAAGCAAACTATCCTTCTTCAGCAGCTACTATGTCCTATCCTGTTACAGGCAGAATGGTTCCTTTGTGTTGACATGACTTCATTCTCTCTTTTCACTGTTCACAGAACTGTATCACTTCAAAACTTTTGCATTCCCTTGAGTCGCTTTCACTTTTCAGTAGGACCACTGCTGAAATTGTTGCAATGCTTCACAATTTATCTTCATTTTATTTCTCTTCCCACTTACTTCTGAAGGGCTTTAGAATGTAATTGTTGTAGTTGGAAATTTTTCTTTTTATACTTAGGGCTTCTTTTGCTCACACAGGCAAGTTGTGTTTTGTTTTTACAAAAAACCTGGTTGTGGATTTTAAAATAATACATATCTGTTCAGAATCTAGAGGATACTGTACTCTCAAAAGAGAAAACTTTGAGACACATTGGCCTTCTTGCCCAGCTTGAGAAGCACAGCACGTTGAAAACAGGAGGAAAGAGTCTGAGCTTACATTGCCATGAAAAAGATTTCCACTTACAACATTGTAACCACGATTTTGCAGCTATTTTTTTTAAACATAGATTTCCCTTCCTAGACAAATAAACCACACCAACCATATAACTAATTTATTTTATTCATCACATACAGGTCCCTCCTTTGTGATGTTTTTCACAGAACTAATACTTACTCAAATGCAATATATGTCAGAAGAGTTGCAGCTGAAAATATAGCAGATATTCCACAGCCTATGTAAGTGATAAAGGTGAGGACCTTGGTATTCTGTGGGTCTATTTGTGTAACGGTTCTCTGAAGGTCCTATGTGAGAGAGGAGGAAGAGGCATCGGTTACAGCAAACACCTTTTCTCTGAGCACAACTCTATTTCTTGTTAATCTGTCAAGTAAAATTCAAAAGCACTTTGGCAATACCACTATAACCCTGACATTAGGGTTCATATTTACTGAGAGTATTTAGTCTATAGTCGTTACACCTCTCACTTCCTTCCCGTAGCTCTTGAAAACATTGTGCTTTAAGTATTATAACTGCTGGGATCAGCAGATAGACAGACCCTGATACTGACCCTTTTAACTCAGTACCAGCAATTCAAATGTCCTTTTCTGGAAAAATCTCCTCTTTTCAAACTTCTTAGTTTGGTTGCTTGTAGACAACTCTCTTTATGTAGATATTTATGATCAACGTGTATTCAAAATGTAATTTAAAAGTACTAATACTGAAATGTGCAACATTCTGGGGAGTTTCTGACATCACTTCTCCTTACTAAAAGTTCATAAGAGTCAATGTAGCTAATCGTCTAGGGGTGAAACCAAGGGCAAGATATTGCTTTTTGGTTTTATGGTCTGTTTTGACATGCAAACTACAGTTATAAACAGAATTGGTCAGAAAAATAGTGACAAAGACAATATTTTTAAAAAAATTGGAAATGAAGCAGGCACATTCTGAGGAATTTTTTTTTCAAGTTTTCTGTCCAACTGCAATTGCCACATAGTACTGGCTGAGAATAAATGCCAGTGTTATTTCCTTTAACGACAAGAAAAAATGAGAATTTTTGGATCTATATTACTGTGGAGTAAATGTGAGCAAATACTAACATATAATGGTGTCCATTCTACAGTCAGTGTCACTGTTGTCCTTAGCAAAACCATCTAGCAAAAAGAAACCAAGAAAATGCTGCAAAATAGACCATTCTTCATAGGAAAAGAAAGGTGTTGTATGCAGTTTTTTACACCCTGTCCCCAACCTTATATGATGGTTTGTTTATATACATAAGGAGAGCGTTATTTGAAAATAATATCTAAATTGAAGTCAGAAAAGATTACTCAAATGGAGAAGTAGGAAGGGCCAAAACTGTGTAAAAATCTACTGGAACACAGCCCAAATTCAAAGAACTTCTGCCTTATTTCCTCCTGCCACAAAAGCATTTGGGGAAGAGAAGGGACTCATTGAATATATTCTAAAGAAAGCCCTTTTTTTCTCCTTTCGAGGATGAAAAGTGAAACAAGACCACAATTTAGCTTGCAAAAAGACAAAAAGCTTGCGGCTTTTTCATATCTACATCTGAACATGACGTGAAGAGAGCAGCTCTATTTAGAAGGCTCGGGAAGGCCAAAGCTGTAACAGTCAGTGCATGCGGATTCCTTGTGTGGTTAAGTCCTATATGTCATTGCAAAAAGTTAAATCAAAACCCAAATACTTGCACAGCATTGCTGTGATCAGGAGCAAACATCTTTCCTTCGAGTATGTTTTAGAGGCTAAAGAATGTTAATTCCAGATGGAAAGAAACATTTCAGCCCATTACTGAGTGTAAAAAAATCACCAAATATTAAAAAAAAAAAATAGCAGTACTCCACCTTTTACATGTTGGGATCTTTTTTTCTCTTGAAAAAACTTCACACGTTCAACTTGCTGGAGGCACCTGAATGCTAGAGGAATGATGCTACTGAGGCTGAAGTGCTTTATATGGTTCCCTCTTTCATCTCCCTGACAGGCTTTGGTCTACCTATCTCAGCCACTCAGACTGGAGACTTTGCTTAAGGCTCTGATAGCGTAAGAATTACACATTTTGTACCAGTCCTCAGAGGGCAGACTTCTTCCAAGAGAAGGCCTGTACCGCAAGGCATCCCCAAACCTGATTAAAGCCATTTATAAGAAAACAGCAAATACGTGTTTACACATTTCATGAAAAAAGGTATTGCTTTATACCTTTGACATTAGATAAATATGAATCTTGTCAGAGTTGCACCCTAAATTTGCAGGGGGCAATTTAGCCCCTTGAATCTCAGGATGAAGGGCGATTACTGTGCTCCCTTGGCTTTTCATCCTTACTAGCAGCTTTTCTGACTGCAGGATATTTTTCTTTCCCTGAGAATACGAGTCTCTCTTTTTTGTTCTGACAACAGCACGTCAACTTTTCTTCCTACTTTTTTTTTTTTTTCTGCAAACAACTTCCTGCTTTCCTGATCTTGAATTTTCAAATCTACCTAGACCTGTTTCTTGTTCACTTCCCTCTTTTTACACCCTCCTGTCTCAGCTGCAGGTAACTTTTGTCAGATTATGTTGTGAAGGGAAATGACAGGGACCCCCTACACCTTAGGACTCATTAAATTCAATTTTGTTCTGTTTTGCTAGTGGAAGTGTTAGTGCTGGGCCTTGGTTTTATAGTCCCTCACTTTGTCACCCAGCCATGTCTCGGCTTTGAAGTTGGATGTTATAATATGCTATTTGTATTTTGGTATCGCTCAGAAGTCTAGGTCTTTTGTGGCACAGCACTCTTCTAAATTTAGAATACTCTTACAGGTATGTGTTACTTTTTATTTTATAATACTTAGTCACTTGTAAAGAACATAATAATAATAATAAACAACTTTAATTACTTAACTTTATTTATTACCTCATTCCTGAATCCTTATCATTAGCTGTTTTGTTATGAAAAATAACTTCATGACAATAAGGGGAAAGATGATGTATTATTATTAAAAATCATGTACAAAAGGAATAACCCAAGTAACAAAAATCAGAGTTGTCTTGACCCAGGGCAAAAACTGGATGGCAGTTCCTGGGAAAGATAACTTAGTGAAGAGTGAGTTTGCCTACCATTAGGACCCCAAAGTGCGTGAGGTGGTTGCATAAGCAAACTGTCTCATTTTCATTGGACTCTGCATCCACTTGGCAGCCCGCAGGGTTCCAGCCACCATTGCCATCTGTGGAAATGAAATGGGAGAAACCACACCTTCCAGCAAACTCATATCACCATCCCTATTAAACAGATTTCTCACTTTGTCTTCTGCAAATACAGAAGTACTTTCTCAAATTGAATGAGTGAACATTAAAAACAATAAAGAAAGAAGCAAGTGTCAGATTTCCTTGTTTCTACGGAGAATCACACCAGATGAGTGTCCCAGTAATAGCCTATTGAGCAGAAGCAATAGATGGAGATCTATAACAAAGGTAGAGAGCTTTTTGGTTAATGAGGGGTGAATAAGACCTACTGTGTGGATTGACACACCTTAGTTTTGCCCAACAATAAGATGGTTTTAGAACTCCCTTTTACCACACTGATGTGATGTCTGCACCTGCCTCCCTCCTACTTATATATCCCCAGGCACACGAAAGCATTTATGGCCCAAGAGCACAGGGTCCCGCCTTTCCTCTCTTCACCGTGTAGTGCAGAAGGTCTGAGTGGATAATCCCAATTATCCTTTGTGGCCTTAAGAAAACACATGAAGTAAACTATCCCCTACTCGCCCCACCTGAAAAGGCTATTCTGAAAAATAAGTAGGAGGATTTTAATTTTAAAAATTAAACATTAAAAAGTAAAATTGGTATTTCTGATTTCTTCTCCTTTCATTTTTCCCTGCTAAAATATGAACTGATTTTGTGAAATAGTTCATACTGTCTGAACCCTTAAAGACATTTTTGCACAACTCCGGGCAAAATCCAGCAAATTATCTGACTGGCCCTATAAATTTACCTCAAATTCAAGACAGAATCTCTCACTAGACTATGAAGAACTTCCAAAACCACTTAAAACTCTCCCACTCAAGCAGCCACTGAGAATAGTTTCCTCCCTGTGTGTTTCTCCTTTGATGTGCTTCTTAAGTTTAGCTTCCTAACTAGATTCTTTTTTTTTTTTTTTTTGGCTCTTTTTTATCCTTCTGTGTTCTCCTCAGTTCTTCTGTCTGAATTTCCTGCTTTCAAGTACAACTTTGGATGGTAAATTTTATTTCTTGCAAGACTCTCTGTACTAAACCCCTCCAACTGAAGTCTTACTGCTAAGGACAGTTATTTCTTCGCTCTATCTGTTTCATTGTAAGGAAGAGTAGCATCTCAGTAGTGACCTCTAAAATAGAAGGATCTGGAAAGGCATTCCAGAGAATGGCTTTGTCTGTGCAAGGGATGAAGGCCCTGAGTGTAACATCACAGTTAGGTGATGCAGTTAGGTTAGGTTAGGCAGTAGCAATGAAGAATGGGTTAAAATGCTGCCTTGTTAATGTGTGTCTCCATACAGGACCTCATCATCTGACTGTCATCCACCTAAAAGGTGGATGAAGTTTGTGCAATATAGTTCCTTCTTCCATGGAAAAAAAAAAAAACAAAACAGCGTAACTTTTGTGACAGGCACAATCTAACAATTAAATAACCCAGCATTTTAAAAATGACCAGTTAAAAGCATGGCTAAGAACTATTCATGTGTCTGAGTAGCTTTCCTATTTACTTTGCACATACAGACAGATCAGTGAAAAAAGGCTATCAGATATAGAAATAATTTACAAATTTAAAATGTCAAACAAATTTACATAAAAAAAATTTAAAAGAGTATTTAACATCATTGTTACAAGCAACTGTACTAACCAGAAGAAATGATACAGTCTAAAGACATATTCTAGTTCTGCAAGGACTGATTAAGAAGCAAAATGGCCAAGACTGTGACTGATTTTAAAACTTAGACACGTGTATTCCCGACATAAAAGAAATTACAGTATTTTTATACTTACCGTTTTTGTTCATATCCCAGAAGACACAGGTAGGCTTAGGATCTTCCTAAGAACACATGGAAAAGTAGACTCTGTATACCTCTTCAGACATAAATCTCATCAACATTTACATTCACAACAGATGTTTTACTACATATCTTTTCATATAATAAGCTGAAGAATAAGTACCATTTGGATTCTTGAAATTTTGTCTAGTATCAAATTAGAACTTATTCTGCCAGAAAGAGAGATCTGCCCAGACTATAAAATCTAGAGCACTGTTCCTCTGCACCTTTCCCTTTCCACATCCTCACAATAATGAAGTTTTATTGTCTCACTAAAGATATTCACGAGTATGATGCCTTTACAGAATCTAAATACTTTTTACCGATCGCCTCCTTAGGACTTCTCAGTGAATCCTCTATGTAACTGGCCTTGAAAATGTGCAAAGGGCTGATGAACCTAAGTGGAGGTTGTTTTGACTGACCTTAAAATAATCATTATTATGAAATGCAAGATAAAGTTAATTGAACTGTGAAAATTACAAACCAGGTTCTCATTGCATAAGTATTTTACTTAGGTATTGCGTTTTAACATCTTCTTTCTGAACTTTTCTAGTGCTATTGTCTCTTTTGCTGACAACATGTCTGAGAAAAGTCAGGCTCACATGTTTTTTAACTGAAACAGTATGTGCCAAAAGGTTGCATTTGGTCTGTATTTCCCTAAACTAATTGCAGTCATCCTTTAATTATGTGGTTCTGTCCATTCTTCCTTTGCTGAAAACCACATAACAACAAAATAACTTGGGGAACTATTAACAAAGCAATTAATGTTTGATCAAAGAATTTAAGTCATTCTAAAGTTTCAGTGTAATAAATTGTGTCACTGCTCATGAACATGGTCATGAACAGAGATTTTGCCTGCAGTTATTGGCACAGAAATTGCCTCTAAGTGATAGAATCAATAATCTTTCAGATAAATGTTAGATCATGAATGGAGTAGAAATGTGTCAGGATGGGAGAGGTTATTTCTTTTTACTTTTGCTACTTGCTTTTATTTTAGCGGGTTTTTTTTCCATTTAAGTTTATGTTCTTACTCAAAATCCATCCAAATCAATCAGGCTATATACTCAGGCTTTACTATATATAATATGCATGACTGTTTGTCTGAATAATCAGTCTTGTCTTACCTGAATTTTAGTATGCTTAATTGTAACCTTCACATAATCCTGAAGATCCTGAATGGTTATGTTTCCAATACTGCATGCCACCACAAAACTGGTCAAATTGGCAGGATTTTCTGCATCCTTTGAAAGATTCAGAAAAATATAATAAATGCTTACACAGCACCTAACATAAAAGCCAGAGTACACAGTTTCATTTTTGCAGCATGCCAGAATAAATAAGTTGTCAGCATTTCTACACTTTTGATCACGCAACATAAGAATATTATGTTTATAAAATCAAATGATGCCAACAAAATTATAACTCAAACAATGCAGCAGATAAAAACCCATGATATGATTAGTTCATTTCCATAAACGAGAACGAACTAGCTTTCTTATCTTATTGTCAATGCCATCCTCTTTAGTAGATGCAAAGTTTTTGGAGAATAACCTGTTTTCTGTGTATAGTTGCTAAATCATCCTCTATCTTACAAAGAATGACTAAAAAGTAGTAAATAAATTTGAAGCAACGTTACATAATGTAAGATATAATATTTTCTACAAAGTCTTACTTGGTGAGAATTCAAGTGGAAGACTGACTTTATCACCAAGCAATGCCATTTCTATCCTGCAGTGAAATCGTAGCAGGTTGAGAATTTTCCAGAAGACATTTTTCCTTGGAAACTGATGATTTATTAAAATGGAAGTGCTTTGGAAATGCTATTTTCTTTTGATAAAATTCCATTGAAGCCTGCATAGCTATTTGTCTGGTTGGCCTTATGGGAAGCTGGAAAGCTTGGTCACTGCCTGTGGTAGATCTTAGGTGAAACAAAGTCTATTGCCACTCACTTACCCTACAAAAATCCGGGCTGCCAGACTCCTGAATGCTCCTCAGTTCTTCAGTACAGGGGTTTTGTTAGTCTGACAAGATGTTAGGTATCAGCTCAGCACTGGGCTCATGAGATCCCAGCACTCATGAGAGACAGAATAGCTTCAGTTATTAAGTGCATGTTATCCTGAGAAGAATATTTCATTTCCAAAGAACCATAGCCAAGAGTTTTCAAACACAGTACTTCAGATTTTACAGAAGCTTTGTGACATAATTTCCTAAAAACTTAAAAATTGCAGAGGAATGAAAATGCAGTATTATAGACTGCTCTTAAGCATTCAAATGAAAGAAAATCTCTTGGCTACCACCTAACTTTCAACATCTGACCCACAGTCCATGAAAGCCTTTCGACAGTTTTCTATGGCTTTCAGTGGGTTCTGTCTCTATCAGATAAAAAAACCCTAGAAATAAATATCAGATGGTCTCTTTAGGGTAAGCAATTTGATATACTCTTGCTTGTCTTTAGAAAGGAATAGAAACAATGTGTGTACGTTAAAGTAAAATACAGATAACTGCTTATTTGCCTATAAGGCTGTGCTCAGCTAAAGTTAGAGGGAAGCTTGTAGCCATTAAAATATACAGAGGTACAAAGGCAAGCAATGCTGAGGCTCATCAATGACAGAAAACTGGACTAGTCTAGACAATCATTACAATTCATATATTTATCATATTTGTACAATATTTTCATGGCCTGAGAACTCATGAGGGTGGGATCCTTCCAACCTAACTTTAGACATGTAAAAAGACATCTAGAACTGAAGTAGCCATTCTAGGGTTTCTTAACATAGTCAATGAAATGGCACATCCAGTGCATAATCCATTGTACCTATTCTATACATCTAGGTTGAACATGGGTTGCCTCCAAATAAGTGCCTATTTTAGAGGCTTTAAGGTATCCTGCCCAGTCTCCAGCTGCTACTGCAGGAGTTCTCACATCTCTTACAGGTTCATTGTCACATCTGTTGGCCAGCAGTACAGTACTTTGGGGTGTCTCAAACTGCGCTAGGCTCCTTTGTTTGGGGAACTGATGCCTACTCCTGCACGGGGATGAGATGTGTCACACCTCAATGGTGTCCACTCTTTTCCACCAACTGGCTTTGAAGGCAGCTTATGGACAACAGTTCAGGCGTAGGTGTGTACATTGAAAGCACCTACCTTTGTTGAAATTAGTCCCACCCTGAATATCTTACATCAGTTTTTCATATAGTGTTCTGTGTAATGTAACCATCACATTTTCATGAATGACAAGATAAAACTTAGCAGCATTCTCTCTGTTGCAATTACAAAAACTCCAATGCTGTAAAGTATGGTGTTTCACTGTTATGTTGAATACTTATAAGAAATATGGCTAATAGCACTGCGATTTTTTAAATTGCAATTGGAATAAATATATTTGTGAAATACTTTTATACTAATGGATAAATTTATTGGGTTTGACTTGGCATGTGGATCAATTTCTTTTTAGACTTTATTTTTAAACTTTTTTTTTAGACTTTACTTTTAGACTTACTAAAATGTGAGTTTTATATATTTTTAATTAATTGTTTTGAACATGTCACCTATGAATAGTTTGAAAAACACACAAAAAATTGAGGGAATTCTAGTTGCAAATTTAGATGCAAATTTTCCTGTTTTTTTTTCTTTTTAATGACTTATAAAGTATCACTTAGAAACACATTCTAGTACCATTAAAGGACACATTCTGTCTTTATATGATTTTATGCCATTATGACAAGCCTACATCTGTATTATTCTGGTTTCTTTATTTTATATATATCCATCCTGTTTTTCTCAGAAGCAGGCTTAAAATGAAGACTATTTTAAATAGTTAAAGATACTTTAGGGTGTATTTCAGAAGGCAACTGAGGGTCATGGGTATTTTCTTGCCCAGATTATCTGAAGAATCTGAATACACTGCCAATAAAAACGATAATATAGGGACAATACAATACTACAGAATTCTGCGGATGCACAAAAGCCAAAGGTCACTTGAAATACTAGTGGGAAAACAACCTCAAGTCTTCTGAGGCTCAGTCTACAGTTCACTATGAAACAATGTTTCCTTCTTAATTAACTCTTTCTTTTTTTTTTCAAAATAGGTATGTTTTTAGTTGTTTTTTTCCAAGCTGCAAATTCTTCCTAATTTTTTTGGCATCTACCACACAGGAAGTATTTATAATTACCATGTGATGGAACCCAAAGGAAAAAAAAACCACAACAAATCTACCTGAGTCCCTTTGGTTTTCAGGTACAAGTATTATTATCCTTCTTCAATATTAAAATACAGTGTGCTTATGAGAAGACATATATGAAAAGAAGAATAGTATGTATAGAAACAAATGTTCTCTGGCCGATGACCATTAGCCCAGAGTTCCAACTGAATATAAGTAGTCAGCTGGATACGAGTGCCAACCAACTCTTTTAAGTAAAAGAGAAAGAAAGAGTAATTGGCGGTGTTCTAGGCCAAATTCCCTTCTGATAGAAAAGAACCTGGTTCCACTGAACATCAAGGACCTACATTAATGCATTTTAACAGATGTTATACCCTTTAAGAGGCTTTGCTACTTTACTCTGATTATATGCAGCTGGAATCCATTTTTTTAGAATCATAGAATAGTTTGGGTTGGAAGAGACCTTTAAAGGTCATCTAGTCCAACCCCTCTGCGATGAGCAGGGACATCTTCAACTAGATCAGGTTGCTCAGAGGCCCGTCTAACCTGACCTTGAATGTTTCCAGGGATGGGACATCTACCACCTCTCTGGGCAACCTGTTCCACTGTCTCACCACCTTCATTGTAAAAAATGTCTTCCTTCTATCTTACCTGAATCTACCCTCTTCTAGTTTAAAACCATTACCCCTTGTCCTGTTGCAATGGGCACTACTAAAATGTTTGTCCATGTCTTTCCTATAGGCCCCCTTTAAGTACTGAAAGGCTGCAATAAGGTCACCCTGGAGCCTTCTCTTCTCCAGGCTGAACAACCCCAGCTCTCTCAGTCTGTCTTCAGAGGAGAGGTGCTCCAGCCCTCTCATCATTCTCACGGCCCTCCTCTGGACCTGCTCCAACAGGTCCACGTCTTTCCTGTGCTGAGGGCTCCAGAGCTGGATGCAGTACTCCAGGTGGGGTCTCACCAGAGCAGAGTAGAGGGGCAGAATAGCCCCCCTCAACCTGCTTGCCACACTTCTTTTGATGCAGCCCAGGATACGGTTGGCCTTCTGGGCTGCGAGCACACATTGTCAGCTCATGTCCAGGTTTTCCATAGATTACCCTGAGAAAAAGTTTATCTTAAATGTGACAGGAATTTGCAGTCAAACCACTGACTTTAATTCAACTGGGCACTTCGGCTATTTTGTCACTCGGAACACAACACTGTCTCTACATCTGCTATCACCTCATTCTATAACTCATGAGATGCTGTAAAATGATTACACTACAGGAAACTTTTAGCAGCTGCCTTTGACTCACTCTAACTGAAATGACTTCAAACACATTAAAGTTTACCTGAAAAAGACCATTTTTGTTGAAGAAAGTAAATTGAGCCCTGGATATAACTTCAAACTCATCTTGACTTAAATTCTTCAGTAAACTTGGTGGCAGAACAACAGAAGCGAAGGCATTTGTCTGATCCTTGTCAAAATCTATCTGTTAAATAAAAACAACAGAAGAACATGTTCAAACAAAAACCAAACCATCCATTGCCCATAACTGTGTTCACACCCTTACACAAAGATACCTAAACATGGGACTAGAATCAATCAACACTAATCTCGCCTGTACCTCTGTAAGAGTTGATGCAATAAATAAATAAAAAAAAGGCTTATGAGGTTTTCCCACCCTTCCAGCATGAGATCAGCCTTCTGCTACAGAAAGGTATAAGACAAAACAAACAAACAAACTCCTCCACTGCTATAATGATGATTTGGAAATAATGAGATGGCAATAATGGCAGTCATCATAATTTCCAGTAACCTTCAAGATACTTTTCCTCATACCAAACAATGTTGAGAACTGAAAAATACACTCTGAATCCTTCTTTCTTGAGCTGTATTATTTGGCTTGATCTGCACATAAGAATTAATTCTCTTACGAGTTTTTCCTCATTTCTCTGTTACAGAAGGGAGATTTAAAAATAACGATTAGTGACACCTTTTTATATTTACCATGCTACGTAGCACAAGAAAGACACTTTCTGCCATCAATATAAGCTTAATCTATACTGGCAAGGTGTCAGACAGCTGAAAGCCCTCTGTAGCACAGGGAGGTAACAAGTTGGCAAGAAATAGATGAGGATGCAAACTTGTATTTCGTTAGCTACCAGGTAGCAAGCAGCTCTACAACTGCACGTTCTCCTACCATGGCATATTCAAGGTGTACCATCCATCAAAGGAAGGGGAGCAAGACATCTCACAGTGGCTCTATAGTAAAAGCGTTCAAGAATTTTACTGTGAGATACGGAAATTCACACTCCTGACTTCTCCAGAGGCAACTTGGTCATGTATTTATGCCTCTCATGATCAGTTGCATGATTCTAAAAGCACAATTAGCTAACAGAAAGTTAAAGGCCATAGGTTACCGAAAGATTTATTTAACTTCTAAATTTTCACTGAGTTACTGTAAATAACAGGCATCCTCGGAAATTGGTAAGAAGTGCTTCAGAGATATCTCCTGACAGGGCTGAATGCAGTTGAATAAAAGGCTTTCAAAGGATAATTCTACCACGTTAAACAGAAAGTGTGTGTGTGATAAAGATGTCCCATTAGGTATTGTCTGCAAATAGACTGGAAGAGGCTTCTATAAAGAAGCAAGGATATATTACAGGAACAATTTAATAATATGAATCACCAAAAGCTAACTTAGTCAAAGGTTTGGCAAGAAACATAAAGACACAGGGGACTGAAATAGAATCTTTCCAAATTGCCATGGATACCTTTTCTTGATATCTACTTTAAGAAAAAAATATGAAATAAAATCTGGAAACATTCTGACATACAGCTTGAAGAGTTTAATGCTCCCTGCTGAGCCTGGGATAGATCACCACATCACTGGTGAAAAACCTGGGCTTTCACAAGGGAATCTCCCTCCAGCAGGGAGAACACGAATCTTTCCTGATAGGTATGGAAAATATAAACGGTGACCACAGCTGCTGAAGACTTTTCTGGTAGGAAGGATGCTAAGAATTCTCAATCAGCTGTTGGAAATGTGAAAGCCTGAGAACAAACTCATGTTCCAATAGGAACATTATAAATAATTTGACGGAGTTTGGATTATATGATTATTTAGACAGTGCTGTAATAAATGATTCCAGGGCAAGAAAATTCCTGGATGTCCTCAAGCCACAGATGGTAATTCTTATTACACATGCAAACATCCCAAACTTGACTTCAGAATTTTTCCTTTCCTCTTTCCATAAATACAGGACGAAATCTGGAGGGGAAACGTTCGTTTGAGAACAATCAAAGAACAATCAGCTATTGAGCTTCATTAATAAGAGAGCTAAACAAAGGCAGATTTACAATCATCAAAAATTTCTAACTAAATTTATTCAAAGAAATTCTAGTCAAAATGTCTATGAATATGAATACGTCAAAGCTCAATTACATGAAATCCATTTGTATCTATTTAAATCGTCACTTGAGTTTTGATCCAAAGTCTATATACACAGCACGTAAAAGGCCTGCAGCCTATTATATTACTACCACTTTTTCTAGTACTGTCTTCATTACTGTTTTTGATTTTTACAGTAAATAGTACTTTATAAAATGATCAGACATTTATTAGGATTGATGTCTTGCCAATTTGCAGGGGGAATTAATTTGATTCCATAAGTTGCTTATACTCTAGTCATTAGTCTTTAACCATTTTCATAATGTCATATTTTGTTTGAATTTAGTTTTGGTTCCTCTGGCCCAAATGATAGTAGATTTTATTTTTTTTTCTGTTTAATCTTTACTGTGTGTTTCTCCACGTAAGGCTCATGGTATTTGAATGGTTACACTCCTAGGAAATTGAGATTACATTACCTCTGTCATAGACTTCTTATATAACTGTGAAAAAAATACATTGCACTACATTTTTGAAAGCATTTAGGTGCCATAAGATGCAGACAGGCATATAGTGCATTTTAAAAAGTCTAGGCACCTCATTGCTACTGATTTCAACAAAACCTTTGGAAAATCCCAATAGATGCTCAAGTTCATCTCCAATGCTTTCAGATGTCTGAGCTTTTCTATTTGTGAAAGAATAAGAAAAAATAATTTTGAGGTGATGACAAATATCTTAACTATAGCAGCCTGTCTAGATACTGTACACTGGAAACCATTCTGCATTGAGTGATCTGTGTTTCTTTTATTTTTTGTGCCTAGGCTGGTCAAGCTCCACATGAATGTCTGCCCTGGACATCCCATATGGCACAAGCCTATCAACCCACATGCGGATAACTGGATCAGCCTTAGGCCTCTGTTAGCAGTAGGTTAATATATACTGGAAGGTTGCAGACTTATTGCATCTGCAGAAACCTACATGTAGATACCTACATTTAGGTGTCTTATTCTAAAGCTGAAATACATCAATGGAGTTAGCTAGTGTACAATGGGTAATACTGCAGACTGTTGAAGTTTATTTTTCCTTTTCATTAGTAAAAAAAACCAAACAAACCCCAACTAAGAAGAATAAAGTCTGTTCTGGATTTGTAAGCAAATTACTTTTCATCTGTACAGAACCTGTGAGTTTATCTGAGTTTCCTGTCAGTCAAGGAAATACTACATTAATCTGTTTGGATGATTGCAGGAAAGAGGAAATAGAAAGTAGGAGGAGAACTGGGAGTTGTAAGTGGTGTTATAGGAACCACAGTAAACACACTTGGAACAACAGGCACATTTTATGTTCAAATATAACTGCTTGTTCCATACCTGGAAATCAGATGCATTATTCTGTGGACTGACACTAAAAGAACCACCTTTGAATGAAGTTGAGTTTATAGAAGACACTCCAAGCGCCAGGTTTCGTGTTGAAATACTCATGGATGGTCCAGTGAACTGGATCTTTAAAGCCAAGGCATCAATAGTTTTTAGAGCTCTAAAAATAGAAAGAAAAGTATTCTGAAAACCGAATACAGAAAAAAAATACTATGCTCTGTATGCTCTCCACATTACAGGTGATCCTCTTATTATTGACTAAGTTTCTATCACCCGTCTGTGTATTCACAAGGAGACTGTCAGGCTGTAAATTTATGCACCTCTGCTGAAAACAAAAGCTTTTGATTGACAGAAATTATCTGACTACATATCACTGGTCCCGAAATAATTTTCCAAAAATACTTAGATCTGTGCTGTGTCATGTATCAGGAAACTTCTTTTCCACCCAAATACTTTATCTTTGTCATGCACATTAATTTTAGTTCAAGAAGAAATATTTGTATATCTAATTTGGAAAATTCTTTTTAATGGAAACCAGAAAAGTTTGATTTTTGTACTCCAATTGTTTTGTTTGTCTATATATGGAAGGACGAATCCTTCCAACCTTGCAGGTTGCTCTGAAAAGCTTGTCTCAAATGCAGAATACTTACTCTGAAGATGATGCTGCCAATACACTGTCTGAACTGGTTAGAATATTGGAAAAAATTGTCACCACGGTAGAACCCAGAGATTCATCAATTTCTTCATCGTTCACAATTTTTTTGAGCTTCTGCACAACATCATTAACTTTGTCTGAGGTTAGCTGCTGCCCTTCACCAGTGAGATTCAGAAGCTGATTGGCTATATCAGCGGCATTTTCTGTAAGTGTAGACATCAAATGAAGTAGAAAGAGAAAATAATGCATATCAGTCCTGAAGTAATTCAGAAATACAAATTTTTATCCTTATTGTTGAAATCTAGAGCATGTTCTGTGGTACTTTTAATGAACATAGGATTTAATCATTTTATCAAATTTATGAAAAATTATATAGAACCCACTGGTTATTATACACTGTTGTCATTGGCTATGTCTTTCTTTTCCTTAATTTGTTTCGAATTTGTAAATTAGAACTGCTACTGAAAAGGCTGATTGAAAGACAAAAAGGGGAAGTAAGGAATACAAAGCATATTTTCTCTCTTTTTTCCTCCTTACGGTATCCCTTCTTTTTCACTGGGAAAACCAGGTTCACTCTTGAAGTGAAACAAATGCATCCAAAAGTCAGTATTACTGACAAAATATTCACTCTTTGGAGCATTGGGGAGAAAGTCTAACCCGATTGCCAATGCTTCAGTTCCTTCAGAGGCTTGTACTCTTACTCAGTGGGTTGGCAAGGACAACACACAAGCAAATTTCATGAGAAGAATCTTCCTGGTGAGGAAAGTTTGATAGTGTGTCCAATGGCAAAACATTACTGTAAATCACATGTTAAACTCTAAGTTTGATGCCACCTGGATAGAAAACTAATGTAAACACTAACATTTTACAATATAAAAATATTTGAGATTTATTGGAATTCCCAAATAAGATTTTGAAAGAAGATCAGCCTTCTTTAGTCTGCAGCTGGCTGTGGTTTTCTCATGTCGTGTTTTATAATACAGTTTTTGCTACATTTACTGTAGAATGTTCATTTTACATGAAATGATGTTCTCATATAGCCTGACTGCAAGTACTCGATCAACCAAGTTAGATAGCCAAGCTCCCTAGGACCCCTCTATCAGTGCAGAAAGAAAAAGAGGCTCCTTCAAGAAAGCAATTCAGAACAGGAGCTTACTGTAGGTGCTCTGAATTACTTATGAGAGTATCATTCTCTTCACTAGCTCTGGCACTAAAAAACGGGCCATAAAATTGTTGTCTATTTATTTTATTACTCCTTTAAGGCCAGAATGACATCAAGGGGTATTTTGCAAACCGAGAATAAATCTGAAAATGTCTGATCGCAAGCCCAGTGAAGAGAGTGGGAGGCTTTCCACTGGCACCTACAGGCACTGGAAACATTTAAGTTTGTCTGAACCTGAATATCAAATTGAGGCAAGCTACCACCTGCCTCTAATCTTGCTTAAATTACCTGGATAGTTTGATTTATTTCATTAATTGGTATCCCAAAATTTTAATGGGTGGGCTGAAATCAACTTGGTGCACTTCCCCAGTATTCAAGTATTTACTTTGCACTGATTTTTTCAGAAAGCATTTAATCAACTTAGCATAAAGGAAGCAGATATTCTTCCTTAATGTAACTGCCTTATAGTAAACAGTAACCAAAGTCTACAAAACTATTCCTTTAGCCAAAGACCAATACCAATATACCCACCTGTGCAATTTCTAAGATCAGGCTGGCCCCAGTATGATGTATAATTCTGCAGACCCAAATAGCTAAAGAGGAAAAATTACAAAATGCACATGAAATACCATAGCAAAATTATGCAAATGTTTCATAATTATTTTGTAGGTGTTACAGTGGTCCACTGTTCTCAATTCACAATTTTCCTAGCAATCTGGCCCCTAGTGAAATGAAATGTGTATGCCTGACATTGGAAATATGTGACCAATTAAGTGACAGTGCTGATAGAAACCCTAGTTCTTCTCGGACAAACTCCCAGCTGATTCCTACACTGATTTAATAAACTGCATCAGTAGAAATTCCAGCCTTGTGTTTCAGGAAAGACCCAAATGTTGACAAAAACTATTATGCCCCTATTATGGCCTAATCAGATGCTGTTTCTATAATATTCCTTTAATATAAATGGCATTGGCCAAGTCAATAGGAAGCTGTAATACCTCTCAGAAGAACATGCACAGGAACTACGTGGAGATATAAACTTATGCTACCCATGAAAACTAGGGCAGGTCATCATCAGATCCAGGTCCAAGGTGAGGGCAGATATAAAGATTTTTTTTTTTTCAAAATACTTTTTAAAAAAGCCTTACCATAGCAAAATACCCAGATATGGCTCCAAAATTAAACACACTTTTTCCTCAGCTTTCTTTGAAGACAATCGTGTTATCATAGCACGGCAAAGGCAGGATGGAGAATGGGAAAAAGTTATCCTTTCACTCAGCACATGATAGAATAGTTATTCCTCAGTTGATCACCTTTATTATAACAGCACACTAGTAGGTAACCTTCTACTGTGGGATGCATAGGGCTAGAAGAGACCATTAAAAGAGCTTCCCTTCTCTCAAAACACATCCCACTTGTGCTCCATATTGGCAAAAGCTAGCGGAGGCCGAGGCAAGGGAAGCATAGCACAGTGCAGAATACAGTAAATTTTTTTTATGAGAAGTGGTGTACATGGACAATCAATGGTATCATGTAGACCACAAATGAACAATAAAGATAAGCAATACTGGGGCAGCAGTGTCCAGAAGCCTTAATTTTTAATTATTCTGAGGCTCTGACATAAAACCAATTTGATTTCTGCACTCCTCGCTCTACAACAAAAGTTGGTCAATCAGGATCCAGCAGTCTTTGTACAAGATTAAGAGGCTGAGGAAGTGAGTTAGTTAAATATAATGCTGGTTTCTTTCCTGTTTGGCACAGAACCTCAAAGCTGATTCATATCCATGTTGCCATATTGTTTTCAAGAAGTAAAAGGTCTGGTCTTCTCAGAACATGTTCCAGATGCAATGTGAGCAGATAAGACTACTACAATGCATTTAATGGTGATCATCCTAAACACTGAAGAAATTAATTAATGTTGCATCATCGTAGCCATGTTCAAGGCACTCAAAGGAGATCAAAGCCATATTGTTTTGGTAATATATCAAAGGAAGTAATAATATTCCCATTTTACAAATGGGAAATAGAAATATAGTGTCTAAATCTTTTGCAGACGTTCACAAAGAAAGCCTACATTATGGAAAATTTATCCTAAACCTTAAAAACACAAGTTCAGATCTTTAAGCATAAGATTATCCCCACCTTCAATTATGACTAACTCCTGGCAAAATGCTTGTTTCACAGGATTTCTTTTACTTTCCCTTAATGAGATGAGAGATGCTGGATTAAACCAAATACACATCTCATCTTCATAGAATTTTATTGAGAATTTCTTACACGTCAGATAGCAGTGGAGAAATGGTAGCAAATGTGAAACTTTGGTTTTGGTAACATAAACGTCATGACTTGAAGAAAGCAGTTTTGTTGTTTAAGAAGGTGCTATTTTTATAGTTACTTTCAGTATGTATTAATTGTGGGCCTCAATATGCCCTACAAAAGTGGTAGATGAGCTTTTTTTCTCACCTATGAAGTACATACTCTTACTGCATACATATAATATCTCACACTACAGAAATCACTATCTTGAAATACAATACTGGTTGATGGCAACCATTATGGAGGATGCAGTTTACGTTTATAACCAGAAAGTTGCATTTGAAGCTCTTAGTTTCTCAGATATTTGAACACCTACCAGGTTCTTGATGCAGTCTGAACTGAGCTCCCATGGCATAATGTGAAGTTGGTCACAGTCGGTCTGGTATCTGGCCAAAAATAGTTTGGAGGATTTTCTTCAGCTGAACACTTTTCTGTAAAAATAAAAATATATCAGTGTGAATGGTAAATTTCTTCATTTTAACATCTTTAATTTCTTGTCCTCAGCTCATCAACCAGTCTACAGCACAAAGCTGTCTTCAAATTAAATGCTTGGTTGTTATGTATAGAGTAGTAACATGGAGGGGTGCACAACGGGACAACATCTACTGCTGCTGCTCAAGGGTTGAACACGAATGCTGCATCCAGTTGCACTCCAGCAGCCCCCACCCTCCTCCCTCCCAAGAGAAGGGCAATCTCTGACTGGAAGAAGTCGAATGGGAAAAGATGAGAGCTAAAAGGAGAATGATTAAGGGCAGCAGCTGGCGGGAGCACAAACAACAGGGTTGAGGAGTGGGCATGAGGGACCTCGGAGGTCCAAAATGTCTCATTATAGCTCTGGCTGTAAATCATACTTCTTTATCCTCAAACTCCAAAGAAGCTGTCAGGATCTGTCCCAGCCTCTTTGAATCAGACAACAAAACACTGACTAAAGCAATCTGGACAACTCCGTGTGTGTGTTACAAGAGGTGTCTTGAGCACAGCTCTCTCAGATTAGTGGAACAACGAGGCTTAAAGGAACAATTTAAAATCTGAAACAGTCATACCACTCGGAGATGTGTGATTATTTTAACACAGAAGATGTTTATTTACAGACAAGCAAACAAAACCTGTTGTGTAACAAAGCCAAAAACTACTTACCTACTGGATTAACATCCACAGTATGAAGCTTATATCCTCCTTCCATGGTCCCATTATTCCTTATGAGTTTCTGTCGGATTTCTTCCTCTTCTAAATCGATGTTGTTGGTAGAATTATAAACCAGAAGGGCCAAAACCTCAAAACTGCATGGGAAATTATCCGAATGTTTGAGTCAGAACAGCAGAGGCGAAATGTGTGGAAATAAAAGTATCTGATAAACTCTGGTTTTCTGAGTGTGAAACAGTGTCACCAAGACAATGTTGCTCATTATCTGTAAATTATTATTTCTGTATATATAGGGCCACAACAGGAAAGTGCAGTTGGGAAATTTCATCCTCTAATTACCATTGAAGAAGCATCTCATCAAAACAGCTAAAAATGTTTTCATATGATTTAGATTCTTTTAAAAGACATTAAAAGATGAAAGCATAAAGTTATGACTTGTCAGTTCTAAATGGGTCCTAATTAAATTTAAAAATCTGGTGGGTGATGGTTTAGGAATTTAAGAGCTGATTCATCCCACCTTACAAATCTTGTCAGGATGGGACAAGTCATCTTCCAGAGGGTCTCTCTCTCCACTGACTACAGAGGAAGACTAGAATATTAATGAAGAACAGGCGCCTAACATTTAAATGTCTAAATTTTGATGGAGTGAAAAAACACCCTGACACACTTCTGAAACTTTTAGTCCTAATTAGGGAAGTCTAGTTGCTCAGATGACTAATTCAAGTTTGAGCAGTAATAGCTGTTTTGTACTGTAGCCCACTGCTACTTTCTTGGGCATAAGAAGTAGTTCAAAGCGCCCAAGTCTCTTTCCTGTGAGAGAAATAAAACAGTCCCCACCCTTGTCCAAAAACATAGCTTTTCTGGAAGGGAAATAATGAACAGAAAAGCAGTTCTAGCAAGACACAGGAAAGAAGCCCAGAGTGGAAGGCTCAAAAATTTCCTCCTGGGACACAGAAAACAGAAGAGAATATGTCGGTACCCAAGAGCATTGCTTGGCTCTGGCTAGTAGGAGGTGACAACACTGAAGCATGGAACATTGGATCTCCACGGGAGCCAAAATGTCGAAAAAAGGAAAAAGCAAGCCTGCTTTGGGCTGTCTTCATCTTAGCCTTGCCCTTGGATACCCAGCAGCCTGAATACAGACAGACCTTCGCGGTGCGTGAGCAGTTCCTGGCAGCCTGGGAAGCGGCAGCAGTGCCAGCACACATGCAGTGAGGAGGGCACACTCCGAACTCAGACGCTTTCACCGGTGGCCCCCGGTGCAGGAAAGCAGCAGTGAGCTAAAGGGTCTTGCAGGCTACTTGAAGAAAAGTAGGCGAAAAAGTCTGCAGGGGTGCTGTATGGGGGAGAGCTAGGAGGGTTTTTAGGTACCCCTTCTTAGACAGACCAGGACTTCATTTCCAAAACTCTTCTAGAAACACATCCCCGTGATGACAGCTCAGAGTTACACTTTCCAGAGGTGCCTAGTCTGGCACAGTACAAAACTACAGCTTAGTGTACAGATGTTGCTCTTAGACCACAGATTTAACCCTCTTTCTGTCAGACATCATTCTGAAAACTGAGTAACTCCAACAAATAATTCCTAAGTACTGTCATTAGTGAAATTACATTAAAATAGCTGGCAGTAAAAGACAACCTCTCCATCTAGGAAAAGAATGAAAAAAGAAAAGAAAATCCCAAACCTCATAAAGAAATCATGAATGTGAACTAAATACATCACATTTCTCACTGTTGCAGGTATAAAGTAAAAGGTAAAGAAATATACACAGTCCCTGTTTGGTGGTATTTTTCAGTTGTGGGGGTTTTTTTTGTTGTTGAACACCAGTACACTTTTCTTTTTTCTTGCCATATCTGCCTTTTTTACTGCTAACATGTTGCTGGAGAAGAAGATAAAAATGTGACTGCCTGCTGACTTGGCTTGTTTTTTCCCCAATGGATGCATTTTAGCAGAGAAATTCCAGCTGTCCCTGGCCAGGTCACTCCTGCCCTGCTCCCAGAGATACTGAGTTCTTCCTAACATTCCTTTGGTCTCAATGGAGTGTTTAACATATGGCAAGAGCCTCAGTAGGGTGGATGTGCATTAGCAGCTCTTTGCTGTATACCTCGGATATATTACGAGGCACAAGTTTATTACGGCATTTATTTTTAGCAAAAGCATGGAAATTGCCTACAGGATTGCCAATACCTTCAGCCCTCCAGTACTTCAGCCCCAGAGTCTCCTGGCACTTAACCATCTTTCCTAAAAGATTCTGGCTTCACTCATTTATTCCCTTTACTTCACAAGAGGAAAACTTAATATACTGATGCCACTCCCTAACTCAGCACTTTGGCTGCAAAACAGAAGTCATAAGTGAACAGTCACTGCTACTACTATGCTGCCTATTGCAGGACTCCCAACTGACCAAAATGATATTTAGTACCCATAACTGTGTGGAGGGATAATGGCAACAAAACAGGAGGGATAATGATAGATGAGGTAGAACTGGATACAGTTATCTTGAACAATTATAGAGAGTATTGATTATGAAGCACTGATAAAAATAATCTGTTAAACCACGTTGTTATTTGCTTTCTGAGAAACTCTTAGAGCACAAGTCATGTATACTGTGTAATAAGAGCCTGTTCCATATTATGTTGAAAACAATTTCTATAAACTTTTCAGAATGACTCATGCTAGCTTCCCAAAGTAAATAAATACCTTTTAACTTGACAGCTGACGCAATATGAAGCTGAGTGCTTCCTTCCACTTTTGTCACACTCAGATCCCAGAAAGAAAACATTTTAATGGTGAAGAACAAAATTCTTGATTTGGGAAACACGAGGTCTACACTCAAATAAACGGCAACATTGCCATGCTCTGCTGGTGTCACTGGAGTTGCTACACCCAGCCTTACATCTTGTACTGTGTACCGTGTAAAAGCAGATAGATTCTCGCAGCAGTAATCAATTACAAATTACACATCACCTACAGTAACCCATACTGATAGCATTACTGCTGTCAATACAAAAAAATGGGCTGCGGTGTAGGTAAACACAACAGGGATAAGTATTTATGCCTCTCTTCTCTTTGACTGAAATGGTGACAGCTGGAGCAAGCAGGAAAGCAGGGGAAGACCTGCATCTACCCATCCCACTTTGTCCCGGTCCGTTGAGCTAAGCTGGCTCAGAGAGAGGAGTTTACAAAGCTGTATCCTCATCAGAGGCACAGGAGGCGGTGGGGGCGCCTGCGCTGCCATGGCGCGTACCACAAAGCCGGCTTTCTTCTCCTGCAGCGTGACTCAGAGCTATTCCAGGACAGTGTGCCTACACATGGGCTGTGGTCTCACTGCTACGCGATGCGAGGAGCCTGAAGGAAGGATTAACAAACCATGCGAACCGTGCAGCACAGACAGTCTCATACCTGAAGATATGTGGTTGATAACTAGCAATACGTATTTCTCCTCTCATTTCAGTTGTACTAGACAGGTTGCACGAATGCTGAATTATTGTGGTTGTCAAAATGTTCAACAAATAACTATTAATTTATTTTGTTGTTAATGTTACTTGATTTAAAGTATATAAAGAATAATTTTCAAAGCACCTAAGTACTCAGGGAATCTAAATTGTCACTGAAAGTCACTGGGAATTTCATTCCTAACTACCCTGGTGTATTTAAATAAGTTTTAAGTTGTCAGCATTAAATTCTTTACCAACCTTGCTGTTATGTTGCCTTTGAATATAAGCAGTGATGGGTAGCTATAACTCAAGACTGGCAGCACAGATAGGCCCCCAGAGTCACCTGTAAACACTACCAACTTCTTTACATTAACTGGATGGGCAAAAAAGGAGCTGACTATTGCATAAGTCACTCAGTGAAGATGTAATACAAATAGCAGACAAAATGTTAGAAAACACACAGAATGAGACAGAAAGAAATATGAAAGTAGAGCAAAGTTAAAAGCATTCCACAAAAGCATCTGAGCTGTGGATAAACTTTTACTTGAAGTGATTTTGACTGTGATACCATTAAAATGTTCAGAACAGAGAGAAAAAAATCAGGACTGTACATAATAGACACATTCAAAGTAATGTCAAGGATGAAGAGGTTCCTTTCTCAGGAGAAGGTGATGTCACAGAAAAAGTATAACATCTGAGACTTCAGGACACAAAACTAAAAGTTGCCACTACTTTTTGGACTACTGAAAATAAAAGCATCCTAAGCCTTCCTTTTAAGTTAATGGCCATTGTACCAGAACAGTGCTGTGAGCAGCATGGTCATGCCTCTCTGCCTGTCCTTGTGTCTCTGGGCCTTGCTCCTCCTTGCAGATCTGGTGTGGGAATACATACAACTATGGCTTTTCAACAGAAAGCACTTATAATATGTGATGATTTGGTATGAAGACTACTCGTTATTAGAGAATGTAGCAGCAAGGCAAACCAGAAAGGGCTGGTATCTCTCGCATTTCAACAGCTGGTCTTTGCTGAAATGAGTTTTTGGTTACGCTTGAGCTGTGTTGCAAAACAACAAAGAAAAACCCCATTCCCCAATACATTACTTTCCTGTAAAATGACATCTAACAATGTCAGGCCTACACTAAATCCAGGTAAAGACAGTGGAAAGACAAAGGAGGTCCCTGGAAGCTGGATCAAGAGCAGACAGCTGCAGCAGGAGACTAAGAAGAGATGATCCTTCAGTCACTGCGGAGGAATTCCCAGATTCCTCTGTCTGTAACGAAGGCTTTCTTTACAGGTCATGGACACAAGATGCCAGCAAGGCACTGTGGAGAAACCTGCGGATTTCTGCTTGTCTCTTTGTTGGTCAGTTTTTCAAGCAGAAATAGAACACATAATGTACACATTATATGGCATTTTAAAATGTTGCTCAGCACTGGTCCAAGCTGCCCCTTACTGCCTTCAGTAACACTGAAGTTGAAGTCGGGGGGAGTTGAGGTGGGCCAGGTCCGAGTTGTTCCTAAAACCTCACCAGTAGAAACCAAGAAAATTTTGAAAATGGGAACAGGCATCGCCAATGTGTTCATATATAATGAGAATAGCATTATTATTTCATAACAAATAATTTGAAGTAATCTACAAAGAATGCAAAAGCCTAATACTTTACTCAGTAAAGATACTTAGGACTATAAAAGCAAAATTATGCTGCTGTGATGTTACTAACTCCTGTCTAAAACTATTACACAATCTAATTAGCTTAAGTTTTATCCGAGTCCATTAAACTTTCCATTAAGCAACACAGCACCCAAGAACACAGCATGCAGGAGCCTGAATCTGCCTTACAGACACTGTTGGTAAAACTCCCACGGACTTCAAAAAAGCAGGACTAGGCATGGGCAGCTCTGATTTCCTGCTGTCCTCTCCGTTTTTATACCTAAGACAAGGGATTTCTGTTTAAGTTTAGTGATCTTTACACAGATTGCTACCACTGTGGTTTTTAATTTGGGCGAGTTGTTCAACAGTACTAATATTAATGTTGCTGCACATAGCAGAACTGAACACAGGGAACAGCCCAAAATTATGACAATCAAGTAGTGGAAATCGGAGCAAACAATAATCTTATTTGTATGTTAAGTGGAGAAAAGTTTATAAATGAATTGGGGCCTGAATTCTCAAAATTGTGAAATGAAAGAAGAAAGGAGAAGCAGGGGAGCTGAGCTGCTTAACAAAGACCAATTCCCCTACTAAGGCAGCCCAACACAGTCATCTGACAAGACCTAGGATCAGTAGGAACCTTCTGCAGTCATAAAAGGCAAAGAATTAATGAAAGAAACAAACACATTTATAATTTATCTACATAAAATCCACAAATTGGCTTCACTTGCAAAGGTTTGTGCAAAATAATGGGGGACAAACAAACATCTATGTCCACAGGCCAACTCCTTCCTACTTTTATTTTGAACAGCTGCCCTCTCATTAAGAGACGGAAACAGTATGACCAGAGGAAAAAATTAAACACAGACACAAAGTCAAGTATAGCTGTGATAAAATTCTGGCTATTAAAGTAGTTAATAATCTACCAAAGTATTAGCTTGATATACTGCTGTCATCCAGAAATCTCACAGTATTAAAGGTGCTGATAATAACAGGCACTTTTGGACTTGGCACTCTGTCTCTCATCACCATGTACATAAACTCATAACAAGCACAGTGTACTTTGGATTTCTGCAGCTCACAGAGTACAGCAATGAAAGAATAACAATCCACTTTCAATTTTTTGTTTTGTTTTGCTCTTCTCCAGAATGCAGTACAGTTTAAAATATTTATTTGGAAAACACCTATTTTTAACATGCCAAAAAAAGCCAGCTTCCTACCTCCCACTTCCAGCTTCTATTTCTTCTCTGAATCATTCTCTCTCCAACAATTCTTTCTTTTTCACTTGCAAGAAGACTAGGTGTGGAGACTGATAACAGGAGTTCCTTGATAAGGTAGTGGTGTGGTAAATAAGGGTTGATGCAAAGCAAAATGCATAGAAAAGGTTGGGAAAGGCTGTTTTCTTCTTTGGAGTTGTTTTAACTGTTGTATAAAACACTAATCCAAAAGGTAAGGAAAAAAGATGGGATCTGAATGACAAGAATATGAATTCATGTAAAGAGAGGGAAAACTTCTCGAAGAGCAATTTAAAGAATTATTATAGTGGCTTAGAAATAAGGTGGCTGTGATCTTGTGGAAAATTCAGAAAAGAGAGATAAGGTTTAGTGAGTTAGACTAGTATGTTCATTTCTGTAAAAGATAAAGTTAAGGCCATGATACTTATGGGTTAGGTCTTAAATTTTAACTGTGGAGTGAAATTCTGTTCAGATGAACATGAAGGTAAATGGAAGAAGTACTTAAAACCTAAGGGAAATAGTGGAGTGTCTAACACTGCAAGAGACTTATTCTTGACTATCCAAAATGAAGAAATAAGCAAATCTTTGGACAATTATTCACAGCAATAATTTATAGGAATGTTTAATTAATAGAAACTGCATGAAATCACACCGTGAGCAAGTTACGTACAAGAACTCAGCCATAACGCTTCAGTGGATCACCTGAGTAGTGAGAAATTAACATTACTTTAATCAGGGATGAAAAACTTCCAACCTGTAACCTCCTATTTTTTTATACCCCAAAATATTACTCTGGCATGTTGTAGGATTTTCTTAGAATCCTACTCAGGACAAATTCAATAAAATGGAAAACCTAACAAAGTATCTTGAAAGTAATGATCGGGAAGTAGTAGAAAAAAAAGGAGTGGGCTTTCTGGATCTTCAGAAATTCAACAGATTTCTTCCTTGCAAAATCTAGAAACAGCTGTGTGAACCTCAAAGAACTGGAAATCTGGTGACTAAACCCAGGAACATTGAAGAGTACTGGGAAGCTGATCCTTCTTTTGTTTCAGAGGGGGAGCAATGTACGACAGACACATACTCAGAAGACCTCAAGCTGGGAGAATACCAACTTTTCCCAAATGTTTCTCCTGTAAGATGCAGGAAAATATATGCAAGATATGAAAAATCCCTGATAAAACAGAAAAAAATCCCTTTTATATGTATTTCTATATATGTATATGTGCATATGGAATGCGTAAAAAGTGTAATTATTGTTAGTCACATATCATGTAGCTCAATTAAATTCTTTATTATCCCTGCGTTACCCCAACCATGTTGCTAGCTTGGGCAGAATCCTGACTTCTTGTTTTTCTTCTTTTTTAAGAAAACACACACAGCATAACAATCCTGATTATTTGGAGAACAGTAACATTTTATGTGACATGATTAGCATTTATATTAAATTATTCAGAATGATGTCAAAATGCAATTTGGCCTTGACACGAAGTGCACTAGAGCCCATGAGAAGACTAGCTTCTCATTAGCCCAAGCCTCCCTTGAAAAACTTTATGACATATTACGAACATGTAATTCCATTGCCTCTGAAATTACTTATGATGAGTAAAGTAAACAGGAATGGGATTACTTCCCCATAACAGTGATATATTATTAGAAGTAATTTAGTGCCATATTCACTGTATGTCGGAAAGGGAAGGAAAGGAAAGGGAAAGGGAATTACTAGAGTAATTTCTCCCTCTTCACCTCCTTTTTTTAATAGACCAGGAAGAAGAGACAAGATCCAGAGGACAAGATGGTGGGAAGGTGAGATGAGAAGAAATCAGGTGTGCAGTCTAGGGGAGAACAGACGCAGACAAGCTGGGCTGCCAGTCTCGTAAAAGCTGCAGGAATAAAGATGGGGAAAGCTTGACATTCCTCAGCAGCTTTGGGTTGTTGGTAAGACCTGAGGCATGGTCTCCACTTAAAAGGTTTCGCTGGCATAACCGTATCATTTAGAAGTGTGAAAAAGAATCCCACCCACATCACTACACCCTACTGTAAATGTAGGTCAAGCAGCAAAATAGCCCATTCAGAGACTGAGTTTACACTATACCAGTTTAATCGTTTTGCCAATAAAAGCTGTCTTTCTGCTGTGGGTGTGTGGGAAGGAGATAGTACCTTTCACAATCTTTTCACATTTAGGTAAACTCTGTAGGAAACTGGAATCTTCAGTAACTACTTCCTGATTGTAAACTGGGAATACTGGGCTATCTCTGAAACTAAAAAGCCCAGCTGTTATCATGGCAGTGCTCAGGAGTCAGTAGTTAAAGTCCCTCATATGTGACTTTTTCCGACACTGCAGATACATCCCATACTCACTTATTGCCCCTTCCTCACAAGACTAACTATGTTTTGGTTTCCTCTCCTTAATTTGGTCCTACGATTCACTCCCTCCCCATATATCCCGCAGAAATCATCCTGTTGCTTTCAAAGAAATCCCCCGAGGCCCAATTTTCAGGGGGTGTGACCCATCTAACTTTCTTTGGCTGCCTTTGAGGCTGTCCCAATTCCAGTCCCTCCAAGCCCAGCAGAAGTCAGGAAATGAGAGCATATGGTAAATAGTTTAACTCACACTAGTTTGGCTTTCAATTCTAGCATGATTTTTCAGTGTTTTGCATCTAGTAAGATGTCTGTTAACTCAAAAGGCTCTGGTTCAAGAGAATAAGTGCAGTGAGAGTGGATAGATACCAGTATACTAAAGCTTGTTGCTAAAGCAAGCTGGGTGTGCTATACCATGTATATATGATATGTCTATTCAGTTTCATGACAGATGAAACCTGAGCTCTGAAAAAATGATCTGTTAAGGTTTAAAGCTCAGTAGGTTTTAAACGAAAACAAACACAATAACCAGTATTAGGCTTCTGAGCACATCCAGAGCACACAGCTTGCCAGCAGTCATATATTTACAGACTGGCAGCATATGCCCAATAATAGACAATGAATCCAATAACAGACAATAAAGCCTGTTGTAAAGCCACTTGTAATAGCAGCCAGTGCCTCTATCAAGAAAATGTCTTTTAAAATGTTACCTTTTAATACTTCTTTTTTCTCTTGCTCCCTCTTTTACAGAGCCAGGGTGGATGCTATGAAAGAAATAAAAATTAATTAGGATGGGCTAATTCTCAAAAGGAACGTAGCATAAACATCTTCCCCCTTCATTTACCTGATATTGACCACATACACAGTGTAATTCCAGTTCTGGAAAGTACGGTTTAGCTGAAAAACAGGAAGACATTGATCACATGAATGGTGAGATGTTAATGGGGTTCTTTGTTGCTTAAGATAGAGTTAGAATTTCACGTTTCTCTCCCTAGAGAAATCCCCTTCAGTTTTTCAAAGCAAAGAGAACAGTCTCCTATTTCAGTGAGGTGATTGTTATATTAGATGTACAACTGGTAGTGAGAGATGTGGGCTTTTTCACTGACAGAAGGAAATCTCTATAAGGTCACGACACAGCAAATAGGTGAGTGCACAGGATGCTGAACTTTTCCTTTTCTCCCTCTCTTCCTGATATTAAATTCTACAGAAACACTTCGATTAGAAAATATTTACTGGCAAAACTACAGGGTCAATTTTCACCTAAAAGTCTACAACCTTACGATGACCGTTTTTTCAGACCTTTGTACTATTTATTCTGAGTGGGCAATGGCTAGTCAGTTTTCCCCCTGGGAGACACTTTTGCATACTCTGCTAGGGCCAAGTGACACCTTTCTAGATTCTTTGGCTCAGGCACCTACGGACTTCGCCTGGCTACTGCTGCTAAAAGAACAACCTTGGCAGGTGTGGATGGCTGCATTTCTGGTTTGTAGATGGCTACAGGTGGTTTCCTTAGCTTCTGAAATCTGAAAGTCTCCAGGTTTATTAAAAGAAAAACAAAGAATTGCCATATATTTATGACATTGTATTTTCATGTAAGTTGTTAGTATAAAGACCCCTAACAGAGTGTGAGAGTGCCACTGTGTCAACTGTCAAAAAGGACAGAGAATATCCATATTCAGACAGGAGAAACTTTCAGAGGCAGGAACTTCAAGAATCCTTCACCCAGAGGGCCCAGAAAGGAGCTTATGTCTGCTAAAGCGGGCTGAAAAAAACAGGGGCTAATAGAAACCCCAACAACTAATCTATGGCAGAAGACTTCTGAAGGACAGAATATTAGGGTAAATTGGAGAAGTGTATTGCTTCACACAAAAGAAGACTGACTTCTTTTTTATTATTTCTATCACAACACAACTTCAAAACCACATGAGTATTTGGAGAGAAAAAAATTGCTCTGTACAGTGATGTTGGACCTTAGACTTCTACCTCTTTCAGGGGACAATTCCGATTTCTCCATGCTTTCCAAAATCTCCATTAGTATCTACATTTCTTAATAAGGTGGCTAGTATAGTGGAGACATTTCAAAACTTGATCCATAGTGCCTAATAGCCGTGGCTGGATCTGAATTCATTACTGCACAAACAAATAGAAAGATCTTCAGAGAACACATATTAATTTAAGAATTTATTTGGTGTTCTCTCTTTTTTTTTTCCCTGTTCAGATTGGTAACATCATTGGGGCAGGTTCATATATGAAATCACACAGGAAAGAAAACTTAACTTACCCATTCTGCAACCACTTCATGTACTTTCGACACTGAGTTGGAACTAGAGACGGTTATAGATATCCTGTAGAATAGCCCACCTGTCCATTAAAAACAGCATTATAATGTTAGAAAATGAGAAAATTTACCTTTTTAATAATGAGACATTAGTTTCATGATGAATATAAGGATTGGGCTGAACCCCAGATACAAGGTCACCTCAAGCTCTTGTTGGCATTACACAAGTTTGGAGTGAACAAGCCCTGCAGGCTTGGGCCCATTCTCACTAGTCCCGTCGAATTAGACAAGAATTCCCACCCCCTCCATATTTTTAGACACACTTGAAATGTGACATGGAAACTCACAAACAATCTACGTATAAACAGTATTTTGCATATGCCTTTAACGTGGTGTGTAAAAACAGGATCAGGAAAGTGTAATGAATTTAAAAAATAATCATAATTACCGAAGTCTGTAACGTATAAATTTTGCTTTCAATCATATTGTTATAATCCAACCTCTGCAGATTACATTTACAACTTTGTCAGAGCAGGTAAGGCTCATCAATTGAAAGTAACAAGATAACTGAGGACAGAATTAGGTGGGAGAAGGGATATCCAGCTCTTGTTTTCACAGTAATCTTTGCTCTCAGGTCTGGCGATGGCCAGATAGTAGAAGAACCCATGTTAGCTTTAGAAAACTGGCAGCTGAACAAACCATCTTTCAGTCACCAAATGTGTAACACTTGTCTTGGAGCAATTTTATATTCAGTAAAAATGTTTTGAAATGGCACCGGGTAAATATAAACTCTCTTTAAGCTCATGAGTTGGTAGGCAGCGTTACAGGATTTCACATCTAATAAATAACATCAAATCGTCTCATAGTTATGCTCTGTGTTAAAAGTCTATACTTTTCACAAGTTAAGATTTTTCATTAAGCTACTAAAAATTCTGTACACTCTAGTTGGATAAAATTTCCCAGGATGTGGGGGAGGTTTAAGAGCTTCTGGATCAAATCGCTTGCATGTATCCGCACATGTGGCATTGCTTGGTTTGGGGCTGTTAAAAAAATGGAGTGGTGGGTCTTGGTCACAGATACATGTACTTATATAAATCTTATGTAAATCTTACAGAGACTACATAAGACAGAACAGGACATGACAACAATCATACAGAAATCCCTTTCTGTCTCTTGATTGTCAAGGAGCTGGTCTATCTTTCTGAGCCAAAATAAAAGACCTTTTATTCTTGGTGGAGCAAATGTCATCCTTTCACAACTTCATAGATAATCCTTTTACAGGAGCTTGAAATAAAAGTATCTGGGAAAAAGATGTGAAGTCAGTAGTTTCCAATTTAATTGTACATATTGGTTACTATCCTACTCATGAGCTGGTTTGAGTATTGTTCTTTCTTTTCATTACGGAATTGATCATACGATCGCTGAGATTAGCATGAAAATCCCTCTGCTACAAAATACTAAAGAATCAATTTCTTGCAGGATGATGGTTTACCAGTTACCTTCTTTGGTAAGCTATGATTAAATTTTAGATAAAAGTAGAATGACCTTGCTTGCTTTTTGATTTATTGTCTTTTTTTCCACCTCAGCAGACACACAAATTTGGTGTGCAGTTTAATCTGAAAATGTATTTTAGTTCGTTATTATTACTGTGATAGTTTCAAAGAAAAAAGAGAAAAAATAAGTCTTTGGAAGTAGAAATTGTAGCTTGGGCAATTTGAAAACACTTGCCAGACTCGGATCTCATTTATATGTATATCTCTCTGTATATACATACATTCAGTTTTATATGTATAATGTACCTTTTATATGTGTTATACAGATACACACATACAGAAAGTGTGCATTATATATATTCTCACACGTTCATCTATAATCATATATATAATTATAACATTATTTATATAATTATGTATATGGACAAAATTACCTTAATATAGGAATATGCAAAGTATTTTTAAAATCAAACACAGTAACTACAAACTAGTCAACAGCTTCAAGATCTCCACCAGATGGTGACTCAAAGCATGTTTTAATGAGGCGAAAAAAGAACACGAACAAAGAACTAATCTACATTTTTAAACACTCTCAGGAGACTGCAGTGGTAGATAGTGAAAACTAAAAATGACTTCTTGCTCTCCAAATTAAACAGTGGAAATCCCACCTCAAAATGTTGAATGAAAAAAAAATATTTTCATGGGCAGAAAATTGATGAAAACTAGCCAAAGATAATTTGAAAAAAGATGAAAAAAGAACCTGGAAAAACAATTCTCCCCACACCCATCACCAACTACAAAAATATAATGATCAATGAAATATTAGGATTGTGTTGTGTTTTTTTTAAATTCTGTTTGGCAAATTATCCAATAGCTTCTTTTGGAAAATCTTTGCTTTTTGAAAGTTAAATCCTCAAAAATACATGAATACTTTAAGTGAAAAATAGTCATACAATCTCAAACAATAAAATAGCATAAAAATACATAAAATACATGGCAACCCAATATATTATCCTCACAGTCTCATGAGAGCTGCCATGGAGAAGTACACAAAAATTAGAAATCACATGTTAATGAGATCTACTATCACTAAAATATTACAAATTCCCTTCTACTGTAAATTACTATTCCAAAATCTTTTCCTATGCTACATGGATCTATATCTAAAGGGTGAAAGCCAGCTACTTCTATGTTCAGTCTACCAACTAAAGATCTAATAGATAAGATGATTTGGGTTTTTTCTACATCTAACTTGATGGCTTGACATACTGTAGTTGACCTCAGGTTGACACAGGCAGCCCAGTTCAGTGAAGGAGTAACACAAACAAGATAAAAAAACTGTAGGAGAGCTATTAAGTTGATTCAGTGGTGGGTAAGGGGTGGTGTTTTGCCTTGTCCCAGATGGTAAATTGGCCAAGGAATGAACATGTGCTGAAACTGATGACTGATGGTACGTCACAGAAGAAGCTGGCATTTGGGACTGCATGAAAGAGTGATGGATTGCTGCTGCAGGTGTTGTCAGAGTGCCCTTCAAGATGGTCTCTTTGTGCTGAATAATAACTCCACTGTATGAAGATGGCAAAGGTATTGCATCATTCATTATTGCAGTTCTTGATGACTCCAAAATAGAAGAGAGATTTGCAAAACGTCCATAATCAGCATTTTCAAAATCCAAAGCATAAGTACTAACAACATTCACAGAAGACATTCCTTCTCTGTGCTCATTAAAGGATCCATGAACCTTCCCTTCTGAATCCCATTCGGAAAGCCTCAATATGTTTGTTGGTGTCAGAACAGCAGAATTCCTTATATCTTCATTATCACCAATGATTTCCTGTTCTACTGCCCATAGAGAGTATCTCAGACTGTTCCCTTGATTTTCAATGGAATTTTGTCCTGCAACAGTTAGATGACTTCTTGGTGTTACTGTTGTTGGTGAGCTTAACTCTGCTACATCCCACTGAGGGATCAGGCTTGGAGAAATTGTACCAAGATGGTTCTGAAAACTTTGTGGGAGTGGAGGTGTGGAGTAGCTGTTAGGAGGTACACTGACTCTGAATTTTGAGTCTGAATGAAGAAGGTGCCTTAATTCCAAAGACAATGTCATTGGAAGGAAGTCAGAACTCACTGAACTGATGTTTTTAAAAAAACCACCTGCATCTATTTGAACTTTACTTCTTGCTTTATCAATAGTATTTGTTACAGCATCATTTGCTGAATTACTTTGAGACTGCCATGATCCATGTGTTCTCGCACTGTTTATCAAACTCTCAACTGCTGTGTTGATCAAGAAAGCAGCTTGGATACCCCTCGAACACGAAGGCTGGGTTCCTGAATGTGTTGGAAGGACAGAAACAAGCTGCTGCCCATTGTTTAGGAAGGTCATGCTGGTCTGATCTCTTACTTTGTCAGTTCCATTTTGCATGTGCAAACTATTCCATATCATGAATTTTTCTGTGGAGTTTTCAAGTACCTTATCAAAGGGACTTACCTGTACCTGTACAGAGGGTTGAATCAAAGGTGCTTCCAGGGAAGGGAAAGGAAAATTAAAATAAAATTCACTGTTTGAAGACACAGGTAGGTTTGCAAAGTTAATTGTTGACTGCAACAATGTCCTGCCATTACTTTCTGAAATTCTCTTTGAAAGGCCTGGAATAAATGAACTAAATATTTGTGTTTCCAAAGCTGATGCCTGACTAGAGAAGTTCATTTCTTCAGCCCCGTGACCTAATAATCTAATGGCAGATGTTTGTTCAGAGATACTGTCAGACTTTGCTGGTGAATTAATGGAAGGCAATCTCTCTGTTGGGGAAGAAAGCAGTTTATTATATGAGAGCCACCAATTTTCTGATGGGTCCCCAGAAAACACTTGAGATGCTTCTTTCAAATGATAGGAAACAGTCCAGAAACTTGCTGTCAAAGAAGGTGAAATATCGACATATTTTGTTGGAAAATCCAAGTAACCTGAGTCCCAGGAGTTGCCAACTCTATCCATGTTCTCCGGCTCTAATATGGAAAAAGATGACTCTTCATTTTCATTACTATCATGAAATACATCTAAATTGTTCTCTAGTACTCCATTTCTGAGGGTCTCACTTGGCTTTTGAAAATATACTGAATGTTTTAAATAATGAGACCAGTAATTGCTATTAGATATAAATGTGCTGTCACTTTCCAAATAAATGTCAGTCAATGATTGTTGATAAACAGGCAGGGTCGTTACAACGTGCTTAAATGCTGAGCTTGTCCAGCCTATTCCTACCAGAAGTGCTGAAAATGTTAGTGGCTCTCTACTGTGTCCTCGGACTGAATTTGTCAGTTGGATATCAGGCATAAGTTTTGTGTATGTTTGCTTCACGTTTTGAAAAAAAGTTGTTGGGTTTGCATGTGGAGTTTGCACAGATGTTAAATTTGTAATGCCTCCTGAGGGCTGTTCCTTAACGTGCATGGATTTTCTAAACTGAAATTCACTGTTTGCTGCTAACACAGAAAAAGTTTTCCTATCAGTGTTGCCTCCTATCATTTCCAGGTAAAAATCTTCAGGTGCGAAGTCCAGCAAATCCAGCCTACTTTTTTGGAACGATGACTTCTGCTCCATAGGCGATATAGATAAGCTAGAAAGAGAATGACGTCTGTCTTGAATGTCAGAGGTGATATGATGATGAAATACAGTCTCACTCCACCAACTCACAGGCTCCAAGACGTTGCTTATATGCATGAAATTGGTTGTGCTGCTGCTGGAGGATGAAATCCACACAGTGTCTTTTTTGTATTCGTAAGCAGTGCTGCTGCTGCTGCTCACGGGAGAGCGGAACGCTGACTCAGAGTCAGAACGAAGCAGCCCATCTGCCAACGTCCGCGCTAGCGCTGCACTGGGGCTTCTGCTTTGAACAAGAGGGACTGCTGCATTCACAGAAGGCTCTGTAACAGCATCGGCTGCATCAGAAGTGCCATGAAATGAACTTCTAGAATAATTCCAAATATTTTCATTTGGTAACTGATTCATCACAGTATTAACTAGGTTGATTTCTTCTGTAAAAACAGCCAAGCTATCGTTGCCGGTCTCCTCAGAAGCAGCTGATGCAGACACAGTTGGAAGAAACAGGCTGTATGTGTTTTTTCTCCCTGGGTTCTCGTCTGCTGAGTTTTTACTGAAACGAAGAGGCCTTTGTTTCACGGGCCAAATAATTGGGGTTGAGATAATTCCTATGTTTTTGACCCCTTCTATCTTAGACTCTTGCTGCCTCTGTGGTCGTGAATGGGAGGATTCAGGTGAATTTCTCTTCACTCTGGAGATAACTGCAGCAGGAAGTCTGAATTCCTGCAGGTCTGTGTGTAGTAAGCCACATAGTTAATGGATTAAAGAAAATATATGCAACTTCACTGTCTGTTCTTGGCTGTCTGCTCTTGGTGTAAAAATCAACTTTACCAAGAGTGGAAAATGGTGCGAAATAGCTGAGGGAAAGTTTAATTTGCTTCTACTGTAAATGAATTTGTCTTATTTTTCTTAGTCTTTCTACTTTCTCTTGGGAGTTTCAAAGCCAAACAAAGGACTTAATTGTCCAGTTTTTATTCATACTAGCATTAATAAGGCATTCAGTTCCTTCTGTAGTTACAAAAATCAGAGTGAACTGCTCACGGAGAACATAGAGTGAGTAGCTCCACAAAAAGATAAAAGCAAAATTTGGAAGAAATTTTCAATATTTTCTTTTTAATTCTACAGCTTAGTAAATCCAAACAAGCTGAATCCAGATAAATTCTTTCAAATTGTCTACTGTACTGCCTGGTTGCCAATGTACAAGAAATGGTTTGCCAAGAGAAAAAATACTCCAAGAATTTTAAATCCTACAGTAACAACTGATGCATTTGGAAAAAAAAAACCAACAACCAAAAACAAACCACAAAAACTCTCAGATTCTAATTTATTTCTGTGGAGCACACTGAAAAAAATAAATCTGTACAAAAAATACCTTTAAGCCTCAGATGAAAATTGCAGAAATCTTTGTGTTGTTAATAATGTTTAACAACTATCTTTGACAAACTAATAAATATTTTAGCAGTGCCTCACAAAATGATGCTCAGTCTCTAGGAGACAGTGATATCATAGAATTTGAGAAAACCTCAAAAGAAATCCCTGCTTTTTTTTTTTCCTGTGCTAATAATAGGCTCATTTACTACCTTATTTTTTCCCTTAATCGTTCTAAATGAAAAGTAAACGATATCTGATACTGTCAACATTTTCCCTAGTAAAGTCTGATCCAGCTCTTCTTGAAGTCAGTGGAAAGATTCCTGTTGACTCAGTGGAAGTGGCTTTGCTCCATAGGAACGATTCCACTTGGCTCCTGCGCCCGACTAGTGAGGAACAGACAATCCCAGCATACTACCACCCTGGCTGCACAAGCCCGAGCTACACAATGCTTCATACTCTGCAGCCTTGAAACATTTCAACAGCATCGTTCTTTTCGGACCCTTTTTTAAAAAATCCCTCTCCCTTTCCTCGTTCTTTGCATGGGTAAACACAAGGGGTGACACAGTGAGTCTCTTTCATACAAAAGCCAGGTAAACATGAAACAAATAAACACTGAGTTTGGTTCTGTTCTCATTTACACCATTCATACATGGTCCAGTGAAGTTGCTCCTGATTTATTTCAGTGTAAATGAGATCAGAACTGAGACATGACCCTTGACATTATGGTACTATGAAAAACACACCTTAAAATACAACAAATTTGCTCTAGACACAGTACAAGGAAAAATGTAACACAGGATTTCTTACCATTGTTTGGCTTATCGTTTCTATTAGTATCAGGCATGTTAGTGGTGACAGTGGGTGGTGTAGGAGTAGTAGCATTTACAGTAGCTGGTAATAAAGATGAGAAAGAGGTGAACTTGAATGAAATATGAATGTTAATAAGGTAAGACAAAATGGGAACAACGCATGACAATGTAAAATGAAACCATCTACACACAATGCCATAAATGTTAAATAAACACATTATTTTTTCTGCACAAAGTGATGAATGGATATGAACTAAGGTCCCAATCCTGCAATCTTCACTTTCACTGACTTCAGTGGGAGTTTTGCCAGTGTAAGGTTTGCAAGATCAGTCCTGTACTGCTTTCATAAACTCAAAATCCTCTTATGAGAGCTTCAGATCCAAACAGCTGTGCAAAGACCAGAAAATAGATCTTATGAGTTCTAAGATGCATGCACTTAGAATATTACTTGTGAAAAGAATAATTGTCCCTACTCGGGGACTGAAGATGACAAACAAATGCAAAACTAAAACGCCCATGTAAGGATCCAATTAACTCAATTGAACTCCATACAATGAAGAGAACTGAAATCAGGCTTGGAATAATTGAAGTGGAATATATATTTTGAAAGCTTCATGTAGGATCTCAGCTGTACTGTTTCCACTGACACTAACAGGAGTCACCCCACACAACCCTGGTAAATGTTTCCCAGGAGAACCAGCTAGAACACTTTTCAAAATCAGAGTGAGGAGCCAAAACTGTAAATTTCCCCCTCAGAGGACTGGGAGGGTATACAGGCTAGAGGAATTCAAAGATCATGCCACTATATTTTCAAACAATAGTCTGGAAAATAATTTAATTTTGTCTAGCAACTCCCAGGGAATGCAAATCCACTCACTGTCAGATTTCTTTTTTCCTGAAAACTCTTAAATATCAGGAGTTTGGTGCAGTATAATCTCACAGTGTTACAAGGCTTTTGCAGATTTTGACTAAGAACTAACCTGGAAAGGTTAAGCAATCGTATTTTAGTAAAGAAATTGCACTTTTGATTTTTTGTGAGGTTTTTTTAACTAACCTTTTGAGTCTGAAAGTCATAAACTCAGGTCTCAGCTTAGGGATCAGGTTCATGTTCGGATTTCAATGAGAGACTTAGGGAACCAGAAGAAAGAGTTGGACACTGCAGCAAACAAGTTCTAACTGGGAAAGTGAGTGTATAAAGTGACACCCTATAACACAGAAAAGCTCTTCTTCCATGTAACTTCAGGGCTACGTTGTCTGAGAAACATGTTATAAGGCTTCTTACTGACTGCACCTTCCAGCTAATGCTGTTAAAGGAGGCACCTTCCAATGAATGAAAATATTGGCTGAGCATGGTGGAGAAAATGGCTCTTTAATCAGACTGTAGCTGACATAATCTGGCATCCCCAAACTTTGTTACTGGTGCTATTGCACAACACACAACAAACAAACAGAAAAGGAATCCAAACTGGCCTCTCAGTTTAAAATAAGTCTGCAGTGCTGACAGAAATAGACAGACAGACATCTTTTTATGATTTTCATTATTATGACAACAATGATGATGATGAACAGGGTAAATCTGATCTGTCACTTCCAAAGTGACAAACACAGAACACCAGTGACACTTTACCAAACACTTCTCAGAGAAGGAAAGAATATTACCTTTGTGAAAGTACTCATAGTATTTATTGAAGATGTGACGGTCTAAGAAGTTATGAGAGGCAAGTTTGAAAGGTAGCATCTTTTATTAGAAGCAATATCTTCTACTAGACAAGTTAATAAAGCTGAAAAAAAGGACGAGGCTTTTAGAAACATAGGCTTGTTTTGCTGAAAGTGAGTGCATTTCTGCAGCCATATTAGCTGACCTGATGAAAGATATTCTCTCTCCTTTCACACCATACCATTTTGATAGAGGAAAATGCTCAGAGTTCTTCCAAGAGAATACACAAAGTTCTTTATGTGGTGGCTGTATTACTCTTTACATATAAAAAGACCAATACTGAATACCTGCTGCTGTCCCATTTACCTAAGGCATCCAAGTAGTAGTATTTAGATCTTATTGTGCTTTGTGAATATGATACCTGAAAATCACTATTTGAAATCTGATTATGGATATAACTGGCATTTCACTTTGCCTGTGCAGACCAGTACAATATGCTCCAAGAATATGAACCAAATTTACTTCAGGAAAACCTGGGAGAAGTACACTGAAGACTGACATAGCTCTCTTACTGGCTTCCCAAGCAGAGTGCATTTTCCTTTTTATTTTTAAGCTAAAACTGATTTACTTGTGAATGTTGGTTTTGAAAGAGTTCTGAGACTTCCTCCTCCACTTTTATATTTTATTCTCTCCTATCTCATTCTACCACCATTCATCATAAAAAGGGTTACAGAGTTAGACATTACTTTTGGTGCAGCTGCTGCTGTGATTAAAGTTTAACATAGCATGCCACCTCATTAGCAGGTCTGTGTTCATGAAGGCATTGTGGAAATGGGCTAATATTGTTCATGTCAAGCATTTTTATAGAACTTCAGCCTCTCAGCAGAACAGAAGGAATTAACTGTCCTTGCATGTCCAGTGATTCACATGGCATGGAAATCTTTAGGGTTCAACTATTCCTTGCATTCAACTGAGCTGACCTTCAAAGACACCTAATGAATTCTTATACACACTGATTTTTTACACCATTAATCAATCACTAAATGCTGTAACAAATTTCTCATTAACTAATAGCTGCTGGATTTTGTAGTTTGATGTTAAATTTTTACCTGCTAATCTCCAAGTATCTAGCCTCAAAATAGATTGTTGGAAAAAAATGAACAATAGTCAGTTTCTTTATTTACATCTTCTCATTTTTTATTTACAAATGTACCTACCTCTAATCCTGGTTAATATTTTACTGTCAAAATGTGCAAGAGGAAAAGAGATGGAGAAAGAAATGAAAGCAGTCGATTAATTCAGTTTTGATATAATGGCGACTATTTGGAAAATGTATTATCAAGGGAGTGATCACATTTTTTCCACATATTGTACGTACACGACACCCACACACTTGACGAGACTAAAGAATTCCTTTCCTCACTATTTTTTATTGCAGTTTACCCTTTTAGAAACAATAATAAAAAAGAAATGGAATAAAAAACCCAAGGAAAATAAAGATTTCCCAAAGATGAAACTGTGAAAATGACCTGGGCTTCTTACCTTGGCAAAGGTTTCCCAGATTTGCACAACTGGTTGGTTCAATTGTAGAAGAGGGAATTAGGTATGAACCTTTAGAAAAAGAAAGTAAAATAATTAGAAAGGTTTAGCTACTGGGCATAAAACTATCATGTCTCAAAATATATTATTTCTTGCAGTGACACAGTCCTCTTCCTAATTTCTCTCAGTGGCAAATCTGATACTGCCATTTGACTGTAAGACTTGTGTGTTTTCATTTTCTGTTGCGGCTGAGGGACCCGCTGACTTGCAAGTTACAGTCACTTGATGCATCCTCCCTCGGTTTTCTTAGCTTTTGCTAAATAACATCACACTAAATGAATGCAGCTTGCATGTACTCTGTGAAATAGCTTTAAGCGGAGGGGTCAGTATGGCCATGGGATTTATGCAACCTTCATGAGTAATAACCCGTGCCTTGGAGAAGAAACCACTCTGCACTGTTGGAGCACAGGTTACCCACCACACACTTCTGAGTAATCTGCCTGTGACAGACACCAGCCAGATAAAAGGTGATTAAACTTGTTCCTCTGCCCAGGGCGTGGGTGTGATTAATATTCTGGTATGCATGATATATAAGCAGATAATGTTATAAGTCTGTATCTCTACTGAATTATTCATAGCAACATGCACACACTTTGATGATCTGGAGACAAAAACAGGGCATATAAGACTAGCTACAGAAAAAAGAACTGGTGAAGCCGCATTACTTATGCTTTGTGTATTCCAGTGGTTCAGCTGCAGATACGGCTGCTTTTGCACACTGTGTTGAAAATAACGGGGCCATAAAGCATGGCATAATTTGAACCTACTGGGAGCTTTGCCCTTTTAGCTTTTGCTTTAGGACTGCAGAATCGCATTGAGTCAATGAGGTTCTCTCATGAAACATTGTATCCTTCCATAAAATTAAAGAGCCACCACCCACCAGCTCGTAAAGATAGCTAGGAAAGTATTTCCTGTGGTGCAAGAACAGACGAAGCATGGGGCCTTGACACAGAAATCGTGTCACGCCACAGACACCATTACTTCTATTGCCGACAAAAACAGGGCAGAATTTAAAACATGTGATCCTCAACAAATATCAAAGCTCAGCATATTTTTTTTTTCCAAATAGATTAAGACATACAGGAAAATTCACTTTCTTGGTACACTTCCTATGAACTCCAGAAAGGATGTTCTAAGTGAACATGCTGCCTCCTGCGTGAGATTTTTTTTTCCCGAAAAAAATATTTGCTGATATTAAACAGTCAATATCAAAACTTGTTGTAAGTTATCTCCTCTTCTTTCTGTGTCATGGAAAGATCACCTGAAAATTGGTTTGGAAAATCTTTGGACCTTCATATTTTCTTCAGTGAGTATTTAAAAAAAGATTGTGTTTTTATTTGGTGAAACTAAAAAAAATGCAATCCAACTTTACAAAACACTTAAGTCAGAATACTGCATAATTTAAAGAGGAATATTTTCAGTGAATATATTCAATAAACATTTTTAAGTTTTGATTGGGTGGAATTCTGGTCAGACTACACTTTCCCTCAGTGTCCACTGAAGAAAATACAATGATTTGGATGCAAACAGATACTTGGCGTAAGCTACTTTATGAAGTCAAGTGGCATGGTCAGTAATATGAACAGCAGATATGGACCTGTATTACGGACAATTTGTGTGACATATCTGACTCATTTCAAATGTCTAAAACTCAGACATCCGCATCTGCTCGTCACGCTAGACTTTCTTTATAGTCAGTGGACAGGAACAGGCACTCCTACAGCAAGAATCTTCTGACTTCACCGAGATATCTTCTTCAGTATGAGATGCACTGACCTCTGGAACAGCCTTTTTCATTCCACTATTCATAAACAGCACTGAGGGCAATTAGGTCAGCCTGAAACATCATTCAGCTGCCTAAGGCAGACAGATTCCACCCTCAGTTAAATCTGACAGTGAAATTAAGAATTCCTCTGGTCTTTGAGAATGAAGGACTCACAGGAAGTATAGATGAAGCAAATGCAATTGCAGGCAAGGACAAACGTGCAGACACGTTACCCTTAAACTGAGTAGATCATATCCTGCTATAGGTGTAGCCAGTGCAGGCTCCAAAATCAGTACCAGAGGTTGATTAAATGCTCCTCAGTTCGCCTGCACTGAGCTCTGAACTGGTGGTGTGACACCGCTATCGTTACCTAGGCTACTTGTTTTAAAATTAGTCCGGATACCCAGGCTGTGTATATATACCTTTAAATGCAAGCCATGCGAAGGTACGGCAATAAAAACAGAATTCCGTCAAGTCTTCCAGAAACACCCCACCATGATTGCACAGCTGTGAAAACATTACTCTAAGGAATAAACTAGGAGAAGGTAAAACTATGAAAAGATTATCTGGAACAATTTGCCAGTGTTTTTATGCTCTGTAAATCTACTTGTAAAAGCCTTGTCTGAAAAACTATGAAAATAATACCCCTTGAAAAATATCAGCACTGTTCAGGCACAGATATGTTGAGATCACTGCTAAACGCTTGGTTTGGGTTTTTTCGAGTTACATGCCTCGTCCTGGGGAAGCATTATTGGAGCTGTGCGAAAACTTCTTTTCTGCATAAATCCTTCCATTGCTGCTAAATGAAGCCTAATCACTTAGAGTCATCTCCTCACTGTCAGTGGTTTATTCATGGTTGATAGCCTGACTCATCAACTCTCCTGTTGCAGGCTGGTTTTACAATGAAGGCTTTTATTCAAGATGACGAAGGGAAGAAAATTCTAACAATTCCATCTCTGGGATTAGTAACCATTTTTGAAACGGCACTGCACCCAGTATTTTCTTTTAGGAAATACTTTGATTCAGGAAAGACTGTATCATAGGGAGTGATTTAACATCTTCAAAAGAAAAAGACTGATTGGTGAGATAGTTTTCTCACAGGCTTAGAGGAAATAATAATGCTTATATATAGATACATGTGAAGTGGCTTGTATAGACACCCAGGCCTAACATACGAATGCTAATATACATTTCCTAAAATAATGTTCTGCTGTAAGGAAACTGCTGAACAATGACATCACAAGGGATAAAGCTGTGGAATGAAAATATGTGCATTGTTTCTATGACCAGAGCTTTGATATTACATTTGTGCCACAGGACTGTGCAGTCTTTAACAGAAAGAAGGACAAGACCAGTGCTCCGGTCAAAATTAAATGAGACTGCAACATTTACAGAGGTCTTACTGGTTGTTTAGTAAAAGTGTTCTGGTAGTCTTCACAGTATAACAGTGTTAGAAGAGTAAGATTTTCTGGGAAGTTATTTTCTGCCAGATCATTTCGTACCGGAGGAAACGCAGTAACTTTTTTGTCCAGAACACCTTCATCAGTCACAGTCAATATTTAGGTCAGCCTTTTCTTTGTTCTGGTAGAGGGGTGAAGGCACCTAATTTCTTATGTTTTTTATAGAGATGTTGCTTAAATTTTTTAGCAGAGGCATGCTGAGAGCTGTCCCAGTGAGTCTAGCTGTAAATGAGCACCTCACGTTTTGGTTTGAGTAAACTAAAGCAAGCAAGATGGTTTTTTTAGTCACCTTAATCCCTCATGAGCTATTAGATACAGAAACTAGCACGCCTTCATGATGCCAGCTTCTGGTTTAAGCTAAGGATTCTCAGAGTGCTGACAGATGCTCTGTCAGGAGACGCTTATATTGACACTATTTAAACTATGTATAAACTAATAAGTAGTAAGGCGTCAGAGAAGCAAGAAGGAAAATTGGAGATGACAACATTAGATACAAAGAGACCCCAGGTGGTTCAGAAAGAACCAATATTTGTAAATCTTTACTTTAACTTTTTGGGTTGTTTTTGTTTGGGTTGTTTGTTTTTTTTTAAGAAACGCGCATTTGCAACAATAGGAGGGCTCAAGCTGTGGACATGGAGTTTGCTAGCAGTTGATTTCCACAAGCATCATGTGTGCGTGTATAGGCTACTGCTGGCCATGATTCAGATTTTCCCCTATGCATTTTATAATTAGCCAGATATCTCTAAAGTTGTTACTAACCAAAGCATTCTTTAAAAAAAATAAAAATAATACTGGTCCAAAGGGACAAAGACTTTTCAGTTTTGATTTTTTTTTTAATCTGGAAAAAAAATGTTCCCGTAGAAAATTGTCGACCAGCTGTGATAACATATGCATACATAAAAATTACACTTGGACACTTATGAGAATCAAGTGTCTGAGCCATGAAAGGAGAATAAGGCTGGAGAAAATAATGAAATTTATATTCTGGAGTAATCTACAGGGAGAAAGACCTACAGTAATTACCTATTAAAAGAAGGACTGATAATATGTCATCAGGAAGATAAAACACGATGATTTTGATCTAAAACTCTTCCTTCCTGTCTGCCTCCTCTAATTTAATCTTTTCTCGTACTTTTCTGTCTCATATGCATTGTTGTTTTGTCACTACTTTCGCTGGCTCTGCACACACAGTCCAAGGCTAGCAAGTGCTCCTTCTGGCTAATCACAGGGCAGGTACAAAACCATTTACTAAATGGTTAGTTGACACACATTTGTTTCTCCGGAGACCACTCTAATCTTACTTGAAGCTAGCAGGTACTTGCCTGTTATCCTCATTTGCTGTGAGCAGAAGGCCAATAAACAAACCGTTTAGGAAAAACTTTGATCTGCAGATCTTTCCAAGCAGCAACCCAATACACTTAGGGGACTTGTTCTTTTCCTTCAGGGAATCCACTTTATACCCTCTCAAAGCCTCTGTATACGGTAAGAGTTGAGCTAAAGTCTAAGAAAGGTAAGACCTAGCTGTTTTTCTGTCACAGGAACTCTTTTTTTTCCCCCCCGTGATGGTATATGATACATTCAGCACAATGCAGAAGTGTAGGGGGGAAATAAGCAAAAAAAGATTTGGCAAGGCATACTCACCACAACTCAAATTGTTTTCTGCTTTCAGTGCTGAAGTTGGAATACTCCAGAATTCATTTTCCCAGTCTACAATGTTTCCTTTCACATCGCAGCTGAGGTTGGCCAGTGTTTGCGCATTCATGGTGAAATTCCAGAGGCGGAAGTTGTAAACGTCCCCATTTAGAGAGTTCACTTCATTGCTGTTAGAGCCCAGCACCAGCCTCCCGTTTCCAGGGATAACTTTGCCAAAGATCTCCGGACAGTACACTATATGATAGGTGCTTTTGGCATATACACCTATACTGCCCGAGAAGCTATCCCCTACGACGCAGAGCTGTTGAAAGGTCCCTGTGAAAAACTCTGCATTTCGGGGCAAGGCATTCTCTAGGATGCACTGCATGCCTGAGATGGACAGAAAATGGCCTTTTGTGGTCTTCCCGAAGCTGAAGAATTCTGTCGAAAACGCATCGGTGTAGGAGAAAACCTTCCAGTCGTCGTTGTCATCGCTGCTGCCCTTGGTTGCTTCAAAGCACAGTGTAAACTGGCTAAGGTCTGGCACTGAGACAGTCTCTGCCACGGACACAGCATCAACGTCAGGAACCTGGGGAATGATGACTTTCTGATTCCTCAGAGACACAGCAACTAGAACCAAGAGCAGATAAATAAATTAACAAAAAATTGACTTCATCATATAGAAATAAAGGCAGACTGGTAGCAGGGCTTAAAGTAACATTCATCAAATCAAACACTCATCAGGTGTTTTTTATCACTGTAGTATACCAATAGCACACGTGAAGGGGCATTTGGCTTGAAAGGGCACTCAGCTAGCAGTATGCAGAGCTCCTTTTCAACGGCATGGAGAGTGCTGCACTACACACAGTTAACAACCCCTCAAGTTGCTTTAAAAGCAATATTAGGACATATTAACAACTAACTTCCAACTCTGCCTCAGCTCACTTTATAAAAATTACTACTCCTTCATCTAGTAAGGATGCATTAGGCAATGGAATAAACCAGTTATTTGAAAAACACAGTATGACTGGCTTTTAAGATATATTATTTTAATTACTTGTCTGCATGACTGCATTACACCAATGAAGTTCAGGCCTTGCTTCTTTTAAATATTGCAATAGAAGAAAGCCCCCATTACATTCCTTGGCAAACTGAAGCCTTTTGATCCTGAATTCAGCTAACCGGTTTCTGCAAATCATTAGGCATCTCATTTTGTTCCCAGCAGCCTTCTAGTTGAATACTGCAATCATTGTTCATGAATATTTATATCCAAGCTGTTCACTATTTTCTAATATTTGGGTCAGCAGTTTGGGATTTTGCACAAGTATTTAGAAATAGCCAGTTCTCTTGCAAGTATGCACTGCAGTAAGGGTATTTAAGCATGGATGGAATTACTCTGTCTCTAATCAAGTATTCTCATTTTCATTGGCAAAATGGCAGTCACCAAACGTGAAAAACAGTATTACACGACATATGCTTTTTCTCCATGAGTGTATTAATGACAATTCTGCTCACTTTACTTTGGAGTACGTCATTTTTCAAAATTAAGTGTCAATATGCTCAGTTTTATTGGCATATTTAAGGCAGCAAAATCTTCTAGTAAATTTCTCCAAAGAAAGAAGTTTCAGGTTATCAGTCATGCAAAGGTGTCAGACTGCAGCAGCCCTCAGTTTTACTTCTGGTTCCACCGTTCTGTGGCAGACCACATCTCCAGCAAATGTCTGCTACCTCTTTTACACGTTTTCACATGGTATGTGCTGGAAGTGAAACTGTTTTTTGCTAGACCTGGAGAATAACTGCCACGGTAGCTAATCCTTAGTCTCCCCTGGGATTTTTAAGTGAGGCCACAACACGTACATTAATTACTACCTCTGTTCCCTTCTCAGAATGAAATAAAAACCTTTCAATATGAGAAGATGAGACATGTGAGAGCAGGGTGAATGTCACTCAGGAGAAGAGACAGATATATGGGGTATAAGGATTCCGTGTAGTCTGTGGTATTGCAGTTTCCCTTTGCCAGCTGCTTGCAAAGACTCTGAGCTCCAAACTACTATATTTGGATACACACAACGACATAATTTGACCAATATATTACATGGTAAAATAGCATATGGCATTGCACACTATCCGCCAACCCAACAACTGGAGAATGGGAGGGAAGAGAAAAAAATACTGGGCTATTACAGATACTGGATTTACTTCATAGATTTTTTTTCTTCCCAAGGGCAAAAGTATGTTGTAACAATTTTATAGATAGAAAATGGGTTGAACTCTCCATTGAAAACAGGGGCTTTTTTTTCATGGGTTAATTATACTGTAAGCTTCTTTACGTAACATGGAAAGTGTTCCAGAAGAAGTATAAGGATTCAGGACCTGAAAAAAGAAGAAAGCTCATTCATATGAGCACTGTCCAGCCTGTGTTAAGGTGGTCAGGAGAGTTATGGACCACCTGCTCACATTGAAACACTATAGGAAGAGAAATAAACACAGAGGACATTGCTCCAGTACTGAACAAGTCTACTCAACTTTGCCATACTCATCTGGCAGATTTAACTGCTGGCACCTTCCCCATACAGTGAAAGGACAAAACTGAGAAGTATTTTGTCCATGTGGAGAAAACAGAATCCTGCCATCAACATTACGCGCAGATCTCTTTCCTGATTACTGTTGCACATCCAGTCATCATGCTGATGAATTTCAGATGTTAGTACTGGAGAAACCAGTTATTCTCTGAGGAAGAATACACATATATTCTTGGAATATTCACCCAAGTGTTTAGACTACTTTCAGAATGATGTTAAATTGTTTCTGTTAGGAAGATAACTGGATTACAATGAACAGGGTTTTTTTTGGACACACTGCTATTTACTCATGAAGAACGTACAAAAGTCCTGGCAGCCTGGACGCAGTAGGAGCGACCAGTAACAGGCAGCTCACTGTTCTGACACCCACATCAGCTTTTATGGGAGCGCTGGGATGACATGAAGCCTGCCTCTGCTGCTTTTTAGGGCCCCTAGCTTACTTGCAGCTCCCTGCCTCACATCTCATACATCCCTTTACATGTGAGCAAGCCAGGAGTCCCTAGACTGTATTTTACAAGCCCTCGCGAGGGAAACCTGCTTTTCTGCCAGTTGAAGAACTTTTCGGCGTGGTTCAGTGCTTGAATAGTGGCTTCTGCTGTTCCTAGCTTCGTTGCTTTCATCTGCCCTTTCACTGATGCTGGAAGATGATGCATCAACTTTAATGCGGTCTGCAAGCATCTACATACCAAATACCTGTTTGAGAGCTTTTTGTTACTATCACACTGAATTGGGGTTTTAATCTGGACTACTGCAGCAGTGCTCAACTGTGTGCTAATTGCACGTGACATTGTCTCAAGTATTTCTGTACTAACAGAGGTCTGTTGGCTCTCCTTCCTCTCCTTTTGGTGACTGAGTGACTTCTACTCACTGGTGGAGCTATTATGTATGCAGTTAACTATTACTAGAAAATTATTTCACTTGCCAGCTTGTCAGCTGGTGTAAAATTGACATAATTCCCCTAAGACTAGTAAAGCTGCATTCATTTACTGGGGCTGAGGAGATGGCCCATCCATCTGCCGTTGGTGTGCTGCAGGAGGCAACAACCAGGAAAGCCAACGTTTGTACGGGCGGCCAAATTGTTATGGATAACAGGACATGCTCTGTGAAACTCAGTTTGAAACTGCTCCTACATAAAACTGAGCAGTCACACAAAAGCTGTTCTATTCTCGACTAATACCCACCCAAAACTCACTTACTCTCTTATATTTGTCTTTCCCCACACATATTTTTTCCTGGGTACATACTGTATATTAGGTTGTACCATTAATATCGTTTTAAATGACATTTCTAGATAGCAAATTACTGTCTGTCTTTGAATGGCCCTTTACTTTCTAACTTTGCACTACTTTGTGAAACTCAAAATTTAACAAACTACTTGGTTTTATTATTTATGTATGCTCATTTCTGAGAAGTAAAAGAAAATATGGACATAACATTGTTCCCCTCTCTCTGGGAGAACTAATGATTTTGCCCAGGTACCATATTCGTCATATTCGTAGCAGTAACAATGGTGTCAGCTTGACAAAGGAGCTTTGAAACTCCACTGGGGACCTGAAGGCGGTGTGTGTACAATCTCTCCGATGGCTTTGGGAACTCTTTGCAAGGACAGGAGAGCATAGCACTGGCATCTGCCATGCAGATGCGTCATAATTTCAGTCTGTATGCGTGCATGTATTGTCTACATGCTTTTATAACTTGAAAGGAAAGCAGTACATTATCATCCTTTACCAAGCCCCTTTTCTGTATCCATTGCCAGGTTAAACATTGCCACGATCTTTGTAACTATCTTCTGAACCCAATGTAACGGCACAACTGTGGGCAATAAGCAGAATATAGTTATAATTTGCCCTATATGCATGCAGCCAGCTCTCCTGGCATGCACAGTCAAAATCAAGTAGTCAGGTGAGAGTTACAGATTTGGAGTGATGAAACAAAATTCGGCAGTTTTAGCCTAGATGCTTAGCAGCAAGCCTTAACACAGAATTTCTGAACTAATATATATGTGAAACTTTAAAATGTAAGTCACTGGTAAGATCACTGGTACCTTTACTGACACTGGGGAGTAATCTTATTCAAAATGAAAGGATATCTTCCAACACTATTATTTTTAATGGCGCTATCCATGAACGTAAAGTATTATTCAATTTGGCATGGAGGTAATGTTTTTGCTTTCACAAAAATATATTACCTTTAGGCAAATGGTTCTCTGACTATGTCTGTGGACCTTTCCTCTCCTCCTCATTGAACACATCTGACGTACTGCATCTTTCAATTCCATTTGTAAGTTACCTTAACCCTTACAGTCATACTTAAACATTAAAATATGAGAATAATAAAGAAATAAATAATTTTGCATAATCTGATTGCATATCATTTTTTATGATCCACTTGATTTTACAACTTCTTACAATACAGCAAAAGCTGCTATTTTCAAATAGAGAAACCTTTCAGAAAACTTGCTTCCACTATCAGAAAAGAACATGTGTTCCTAGAATTATTACTATATTTATTTTGTCAGCATGAAAGGACCTCAGCAGAAACAATTATTTTTAGGTCCTCTGATATGACATTACCTTTTTTCTTTTCAGAACTGCACACAAATTTTGCTGGCATAATCAGGACTGCTTTTGTCTTATGATTCTCGGGGGTTACTATCTTAATTATTTTAAAATATCTGATGTGTATAATAAATATTTTAAAAAAGAAAATCATGAGAAAGATGCGCTTGTGACTGAAGAGATAAGTACAAACCTGCTTAGTGTTTGTTTCTACAGCAGACAGCCAACCAACAGAACGTAAGTGCGCTACAATAATATCAATGCTCAATGCAATACTATTATTCAGTCTAAGGCGTGCGACTTTAACAAAAAGAAAGCCTACTGAGAACATGCAACTGTAAACTATAACCCTGGAGTGGAATGAATGGTGAGTAGCGTGTGGGGCCTGTAAGTAGTCATCCTAATGCCCTTTGTCACCTTGCTGCCCTTTACTGACATGTGACAGCAACTTCTTATTAATGCTTTAAACAACAAAACAAACATCAATCACGTGTTATTTGTACCCTTATCTTCCAGGAGAAAAAGCATGAATGTATCTTTTTTTTTTTTTTTTTCAGTTGTTAGGCTTTTTAAAATCTAAGCATTGCTATGTATTTAAGGAAGAGAAAAGAAGGTCAAGGAACTGGAACGAAAGGTAGACATTGTGCAATACCAGTTCAACCCTGGGAGTTTATTCTAGAGGCTGGAAGAACTCCTGACAAGTTCTGCCTTCCACACAAACTCCTCCCCACTGTTGGGTGTTTCACCGGGCCAGATGGGCCTTCTTTCTGGCTCAACTAAGTTCCCTCTCATGCTCTCCTTTGGGTTTCTCTGCTCCTTTGCAGTTACGCTGACCTGAAGGATAGGTGTCCTGCTTCCAAACCCTCCAGTATAAATCTGCAGGGAGAAGCAGTGTTAGGCCTAAAATCTTTGCATGTGAAAAGTTTTTCTAACACACTTGATGTTGTGTCCCAGAATAAAATAATTTATTTTCCTCCAAAGAAGAACAAATTAGTTAAAAAAACATATGAGAGAACTCTGTAGCTTTACCCTGCAGCCTCCCCATCCTTTCCCTTCTCATGGAGGACTTACTTAGTTCCTTCAGGAAGTGTCGTTCTAACTCTTATGGGACATTTCCTTCTAAACATCTCTAAGAGGGATGAAATGCTTTGGGTTTACTTACTTCGTACGTAGCTGGCATTAAAACCTTTCTTTTGGATACTGAAGTCGCTTTTAAACGACACAACCATTTCATTTCCAGTAGAGTTATAGGATAATCCTTTGGCAGTGATGCCACAAAGGTTCATTGGGCTTTCTCCATTGTCTAATGTCAGTGAGTCATAAATGCAGCCAGGAGCTTCTTCAATATCAAAATCGACAAATGTTAGCTGTATGATGTATCCATGAGGTGCTCGAATGATCCACTTGCACGCTTGGCTGTTGGGATAATCACTGGGGAAGCATGGAGAAGTGAAAACTCCAGAGGGGTCAGTTAGCACGATCCTACAGTCGTAGCATCCGTGAGCTGGCAATTAAAACAGAGAAAGGCTGGAGGTCAGGAAGAGAGATAACTTAACAGGAAAGGAATCATCAGCACAATAACTGAACGTCTTTCTACACAGAAAAACATAAACAGAGATGGGAAGAAGAAAGGCAGAAAAAGGTCTGGTTTCTGGTTGGCAAAATACTGGCGGAAGAGTACAGCAAAATAATATTTTATGTAAGAAATCCTGAACAAAAGAAATACTAAACTGCTAAATGTTCATGTGTGCACACTATATATACCTGCTATGTATACTGACCTGACAAAGGTGAAGTGAAAGCAACATTTTTTTAATTCAGAAAGGCAAACCAATTCTTAAACTGCATCTTCTAAAAAAATGACCGGTATCATTTACATTTTTTGGCTGCTGGTCTAATGCTGACTGGTGGCTATTCCAGCAGCTCTGTGCCATGCTATTGTTTCCAGTGGAATGTCCCTGGAACGCAGCAGCACAAGAGATGGGTCGAAGAGCGGCAGAAGCAGCAGCTCTGCGGAGCTCTCGAAGGTTAGTCATCAGCATTTCCGGCAAACGCTCTCCACATCACCCAGAAGGGTTGCAGTGAGCTACTGGCTTTTGAATCAACAGCAAATTACGGCACTCTTCCCGTGCTGACTCAGCTCCATTGGCATAATTGTGGCAATCAGGCTCGAAGAAATTCTTATCCTATTCCTCATGCCCCTTTGCTCACCTGCTGTGCTTATCCACAAGAATTTCAGGCCCAGTTAGTCCCCAGAGTTGCGTTTCTTGTTTGGTTTACATTTGCTCATTCATCATATATTTACTTAGTGTATTATATGACATAATTACCGTGAACTGCCTGCTGCTGAAATCTGTAACAGTTTGGCAAAGCAGAACTGAACAAACTGGGTGGGAACTGAATATCGCCACTATAACTAACTGGCATATTTATGCTGAATTACTTTGCAAACATTTCATTAGGCCACAATCCTGCAAGAAGTACTACAAGCACGAAAAAAAATAGGACAATGTGAACATGTATTATTCGTTGCCCAAGCTAAAAGCAACTAAAAAAGCTGTCAAGTGTAAACTACATATGGAGCAGCTATAAAATAGGAATAAATGCAACAAACTTCTCCAACGAGCCCTTGATGTTTCTTTCTACTGCTTTGGTCCTGATGTAGTTCAGTCACATTCAGATGGTGTTTGGCCTAAGCAAATGGACCCTGACTCTGTGAAGTGGCATGGCAAAAAAAAAGCAGCAGTTTATATCTGTAGGGAGATTTGTGAGGTGTATTTTACAGAGTTTTTATGATTTTTATTTACAAATGACAAATTCATATGACCCCAAAGAGGTAAAGAGACTATTAATTAATTGGGCTCTCAGGGCCAAATACAGGCTGGTTACATTAGAATAGATCAGTGGGATGCTTATTTGTTCAAATGAGAAACAAAGAATATCTACAAGATTTGCAGGTAGCTTTGGGAAGCAGTGGTGCTCATGACGTTGGAAAGCTGGATCTGTGTAGCACAAACAGGAGCCTGTCCACTCTTAATTTCTCTGCAAATGTTGACAGTCAGAGGGCTATGCTCACCTGCCCTGAAATCCTGCTGTTCCACTAATTAACCAGCGAGGGAATATTTACTTATTAGTACGGTGACTATAAATCCTGCAGGTGTACAAACAGATGACGGCTTCGTCCAGTGGATTTTGCAGAGATAGGTATTGGTTTTCAGAGAACCACCCGAGTTTGAGAGGAGGAGGAACTGGAAAAGCACGCTCTAAGCCACAAGCCACTGCGGTCTCCTAGTCCAGGGCGAGTGAGCCTCTACAGGGCTGAGCAGCCGTAAGACTGCTCCGGCCGGAGCTGCCTCCAGCTGGAAGGCTCAGTGATTCACGCTCCTGCCTTCGTTATTGCTAGGATGAGGGCTACAGGGGCTGAGGATTTGGCAGCGCGCCGCACCCACTCTCCTACTTGTACCTGCAGAGAAATAAATGACACAGAGCTATCTGGGCAGCTGAGAGCTTTCCCTGTGCACCCAGATGGACCTGAAGGCAGGGACTAAGCTGTTAAGTGATGTAAATACGTATAGGAACACGGACATTAATGTACATTCATTCAGCCTTGGACCCCCAAAGTAAATCTGAAGGGCATTATAAAACATTGCTGAAACAGAAAAAATATGCCACTTGTCAGTAAAAGTGTATCTTTCTCTCAAATCTGTGGAATGTTACATTCAACCTGAGACTGGAAAAGTTAAATTTGTGCATCAGAAAGAACACAGCCATTCTCAAGAGAAGACTGCCTTTATTAATTCTATTGATCACCATCAGCCAAAACAGTACTCAGCTCTTCTATTTATCTCTCTTGAGTATTTATCGTTGTTTCTAAGCTGTGTAAAAAAAGTCAGTACATGTAACAAAAATACTTTTATCCCCGATGTCACTGTAAACACTAAACCATAAATGTTATTTATGTTATTGGGGTTTTTTTTGCATTTAATCTTTTCGCTACCATATTCTAATTTTATTATATCCATATTGTTTTGTTGGTTTTACAGAACTAACGCAAAAAACCCAGCCCCTAAATTTAGGTAGGAAAATAACTGCTCAAAACTTTACATATACAGAAGAAACAGATTTGGTGAGCAAAATAGTTTACTTTTTGAAGTGGGTTGGCTCCATTTTGGCATAGTAGCTATTCTGTCCATGACTGCAATTTGAAGGAGAAATATCCTGTTTTCATGCAAATGTCCACAGTAGCAAGTAAAAAGAAAAGAAAACAAACAACAAAACTATATATAAACAGAATGGTTTTGAATGGAACTTTTTGCACAGCTTCTCATGAGACAGTTCTTTTTCTATAAACATCACCTATTTTACTCATTAAAGAGAAAAATTGCTGTGGCAACCTTAGGCTGCCAGCCAAAGCTGACAGATATTTTGCAATCCCATTGGCCCAGAGCACTTCTGAACTGTGGATACTGAATACTTGTTGCAATACACACCACAAACATTTCTACAAACAATCTGAGATATTTTATTGATTTTAATGGGAACAAAATTAGCTGCTATGACATTCTTGGGCAGGAACCCGACATACACAGAATCTGCCTGTCAAGTATTATCACCCTAGACCACAGGAAATTCACTCTCTAAATACACTTTATCCAATAAAAGCCTTCATCTTTCCTCACCCTCTTTTCTTCCCCAAACTAAAATGAACACCCTCCCCATATAGTGAAATCAAGCACTTAATTTCAATGTTTCCTAAATTGAAAGTTTCACCGGGGAATTCATTTGTCTCCATCATGAGAATACTCTGGAGTATGGTCTTCATTTCATAATAACTTTTTTTTTCTGCAGGGCTCATACTTCCTATAATATAAGAATAATTAAGTATTTAGTATGACACTTCAACACTATACTAAAAAGGAAAATTAATAAATTCCTTTGGAGTATGTTAGAGCTTTCACCAAAGTTATCTAAGTGATTCAAAAATGTTAATTGACTTCAGGAGGGGAATTGACTGTAGGGGAAATGGCTTTTTCCCTTCCTCTCATGCCCATTTTACAAGGATAAGGCTAGGCATGGAGATAATGGACAAAAATGGCTAAAGTTTCCATGGATTTTGGGTTCCTAATCTAAGAAATGAGAGTACTGATTTTCCTTAACTACTTAGTATTTGTACAGGGTTTTAGATGTCCAAAGCACACTATCTGTGACTTCAAACTGCAGCTGGGAGAGCAGTCTGCCAATCTGGCTCACTGTAGAAAATCCAAAAATGAGTACTTAGGGGCCAATGGAAAATTTTGGTCAAAGCAATTTGGCCATCTTTAATAGGAACTTATCGGTAAAGGCAGGGATAGAATCCCGTTCTCATGGTTGCCAATTTTCCTAACCATGAGACCATTCCCTCTCTTCTATGAGTCTCCTGCCCATTCCCCATATATACCTTTTAATTTCTATGAAGAGGAAAGTACCCTATACTAGTCTTTCCTACATCATGCTGAATCATCTGAAGACTGTCCTAAAACTAAGTGACTACGGGAAAAAGCATGTGACTCATTAAAGATTGCACCATACAAACAGACATGCGCACACGCAAACCTCATATCCTATGGAACAAAATTAACCACCTGGCTTGTCCCATCTACTGATTTTGTCTCTTTAGAGCTTCAGCACAGAATGTCACCATTTGAACTCATGAAGACACCTGCAGGGGCTGAGATACACAATTTAAAAGTGACTTGCACAAGCCATTTGTGGTCACATGAAGCCAGAGTCAGACCTAGAGCTGCAATGCTGAACTGCAGATTTGGGAAGGAAACATTCTGTATATAGCCTCGTCCCATACGTTCTTACTTCTCTTTTTTGATTTCTTCTTATATGACTAACACATTCCAGCACTTGCTTCCAAAATCTGTGGCAATATTCATATTTTCCTCTAGCTCTTCACACTTCTCTACTTCTCTCCATTGTCATACTTTTTCCCCAAAACCTCATCTTTTGCCCTATTATACTCTGCGCTTCTTTCTCAGGCATGAGTTTAGACTTCTACTTCTCCACCTTCTTTAATTTCTGCACTTACCCAACCTCACAGATATGCTGGACAACAAAGTTTGTTTGGCCAAGATTTTTTTTAAAACAGCAAAAACAAACCAGCTTGGGGCACTGCCTGTTTCAGCTCTAAAGGCTTCAAGTTTGTGAAGGTTAGGATCTAAGGAAACAGGGTCTCTAAGGAAAAACGTCCGTGCTTGAAATTTGTGCATTATCCAGTTTGTTATCACACTAAGCTACACCTTGCATTGGGTTTTTCTTTTTCCGGCTGTAGCATGCAGCTGGCCCTCTGTACAGCATTTTCCACCTGACAGAAGTGTAAATGCCTACATACGTGTAGGCAGTGGCACAGGATACGAATGACAGCCAGTGTGGGTTGAATTAACACTACTGTTGTTTTTTTTTTTTAAATCCATTAAAAGGCACCCTCATAAAAGTAAGACAGAATGCTGCTGGATTCCA